AGGGCTCAGGAACGCGCATGCACCAGTGCCCCCATAGCAAGTGGCTTTCTGTTGGGGGCAGTGGTCAAGGAGGAAGAGCCAGGAGTACCAGTGGGGGACCCGAGAAGACGAGGAATGGGGCTGCTCTGTTCAAAACCACTGCACACAGCAGATAATTGTAACATGTTTGTTATTTAAAAAAATAATAACCTTTAAAATCACTTTAATGTCACTTTAAACTGGCGGAAAAACACAACTAAAAACTATTCTTAAAGCATATTTGGACGTACATCTCGTGTGGATCACAGGAGCCCAGTTTGTTCTTCACTCCTATAACCCATTTTCAGCCAACAGCAGGCTAAAGTCTGCTGTCAGCTGACATCACTCACCCAGTCCAGGCTGGGGAAAGATACAGACTTTAAAGTTGGGGTTTGCCCAGATAACTGTCATCTGGCTCAGCCTCTCAGCGAACCGATGAGAGCCTGAGCCAACTGCTCCCTCCCCCTCCACAGCCCAGTGCTCCAGTGAGCTCTGTGGGGGACAGAGCAGACAGCAGTGACTGACAGTCCCGGCTCTCTGCTCAGAGATCAGCGGTGTCTGATTGCTCAGTTCTCATCCTTAAGGTGGGAATACACGATTAGAAAATCGTCCGATTGGTCATCCAATGACCAAGAGGCGTTCATTTGTTGGTCGAAATCGTGGCCCACATTAACCTCCCTGGCGGTATTCCCGAGTGTAGCTCAGGGTAAAGTTTCAGTACCACAAGCGGTAACCCCGGGCTACACTTGGGCTTACCATGCAGCGCTGCTCCGCGATCCCTCGGTCACTTACCTTATCCTGCGGTCCCGCGATGTCCCTCCTGCAGTGTCCCCGGCAATGTAATCCGGCGGATGCCGGCACCTGTCATCTGGTTTCCTTCCTCTGCGATCGTCGGGACGTACGGAGGACGGAACGGTGGGAAATTTGAAAATGACAAAAAATGACATTCACAAAAATCACTAAAATCACATAATAAAACATTACTGTACTGTATCAAACCATTTAACATACATTTTGTCCTGTGCCCTGCCTTCATTTTTACTGTTCTTTCTACCTGGAAACTGAGAAATGTCCATGGCGTCCAAAAAGCGTCCCTTTAGGTCAAAAGCGGTTTTAGATCAGCTAGAGAACAGCGATAGTAAATTAGAACTACTTGCAGATTTGAGTGATAATGATTCGTGGGGGAAATTCGTCATCAGACACTGAAACCGATTTAGCGACTTTGCTCAGTGATGTGCGAACTTGGAGCTATATTTCAAATTTCAGTGTTTTTGGTTTGATTATATTATTGAATGAAATCTATTATTATTATATTATCATTTTTTATAATTATTTATTAAATTATAATTTATGATTTCGTGTTTCAGGTTTTATCATACCCGGGATGTTTACTAGACTCTTGTTCGGACAGATTTCAGTAAGTTATTCCTAAGAATTACAGGCCTACAATATAAAACGCCAAATTTCCAAGCAAAATAATGGTACTGCTTTCAGCACCAAAAATCTGAAATAATCATACCGCCAGGGAGGTTAACCAATCTAAAAAAATTGTTTGTCGGGCAATACGTAGTGTTGAGGTCTTCTGTACAAGTGGAAGTGATGCAGTGTGCGTGTGACCTTGTAGCCATGCCCTTCCGGTCAGAACGAGCGATATACACAACAATTAACAGCAATGAGTACGGGTGGCACAGTGGCTTAGTGGTTAGCATGTCTGCCTTGCAGTAAATGGGTCATGGGTTTGATTCCTGACCATGATGCTTCCTGCATGGAGTTTGCATGTTCTCCCTGTGCTTGCGTGGGTTTCCTCCAGGTACTCCGGTTTCCTCCCAAACTCCGAAGACATGCTGGTAGGTTAATTGGCTCCTGTCTAAATTGGCGCTAATATATGTATGAATGTGAGTTAGGGACCTTAGATTGTACGCCCCTTGAGGGTTAGGGACTGATGTGAATGCGCTGTAAAGCGCTGTGTAAATTGACGGTGCTATGTAAGTACCTGAAATAAATAAATAATGAGTATAATATAGTTTGTTACATTACCTATATACATAAATAGTGATACATAAAAATATAATATGCATAATTCTGGTTTCATTATCTCATTAGGCCAGTCTACTTTTAACATTTGGATTTTTCATTCGTGTTTACGAAGATTCCTTGGACATAAACATCTGGGTCATCTTCTGTTTCCGGTCATGCGTGATAGCGCTTGATAGATTTTTTTCACATGACCGTCATACCACCACATAGAAAATCGGTCGTTCGTATGCGAAACGACAACATTTTTCACTGTTGTTCAACTGGATTTTTTCATTCACAATATCGTTATCGGTTAAAACATCCTGCTCATCAACGAAGAGAAAATCGTTTGATCACTGGTTCCGCAAAAGTTTTCAGACGATTTTCTTATTGTGTGTACGGGGCATTAGGCAGGGTTCACACTTGCAGTATATCGCATGTGATTCGCACAGGAACCGCACCGCATTCCTGTCCAAATCACATGTGAATTGTGTGCTGTGCAATTGGAGCCATATATTTTGTATAGTTCAAATGGCACCACATTCGCACCAAGAAGGTGCAGGACCCTTTTTTGGTCTGCACTAGAATCGGATCGCATGAGTATTTACACCCATGTGATCCGATTCTGCACATCGCACCATGTTTTGTGGACTGAATGTTAACGTAACACACACACACCCGCTGTAATTGTGATACAGTGTGGAATTCGCACAGAAAATCCTGCGAATTCCACACCGCATCAGTGTGAACTCAGGCTCAGAGCCGGGAGGGGGAGGGGGGGTTGGAGCAGATGAGCAAATGTAGCATCTGTTTGATGCTGCATCCACCTAAGTAAGAATGGTAAAAAAAAAAAAAAAAAAAACAAACCCATACTTCTCATTACAAATTCCTGACTCCCTATCTATCCTGCCTAACTTGTATAAAAAAGATGTGTGTACTTACCTATTATAATCTGCTCCAGTCTGATCATGTGATCCCTCAGCTAGTGAGCTGCTACTGCAGGGAAGAGGAAGGAGTGCAGAAAATGGCTGGGCTATGGGAGCCAATGGGTGATGTCACAGCTTCCAGAATTTCCAGCTGTTGCCAGAGTTACCTGTCAAATGCAGCCCTCCAGCACCCCAAATCCCCCCCCCCCCATCCCTGCCACTTCCATCTTTTGTCTGGCCTTCCTTCCAGGTTTCATCTCTGCAGCCACTTGAATGGCTGAGCCGCAGTGATGCCATATAGCCACAGCACAACAAGGCTGCTGTAACCATTACACAGAGCAGGTGACCAAGTCCTTAGATGTGGTGGCTGCATCAGTTTTCTTTTTGTAGTTTTTGCTCCCTTTGTTTTCACCTGGTGATCTGGCCAGTAACTCTCCTCCTGTACTAGAGTTTCCCTACTCTGAATGAATGAGCACAAGGGGGAACAGCAGACAGCAGCATTGTCAGTCTGGGGGGAAGGGAAGTGTTACATGGAATAACAGATTTAGATACAGTAACAAATTGAAGCCAAACTCCAGCTCACACTGCAGTTACACAGTTGCAACAACAGTTGTTTTTCTTTTGGGATAAAGATTTTGCATGAATAAATAAAAGCTGATCAATGTAAGCACCCTGTCAGTGGTAAATAGTTTGTCTTAAAAAGTGGAGCTCCAGGCTCCTCCCAAAAAAATGTAAACACAGTAGCTACAAATAGCTGATGACTTCTAATATAAGGACACTTACCTGTCCAGGGATCCAGCAATGTCTTCACCTGAGTTCATTCTTCAACAGTTTTGGGGTGCAGCTGCCAGCATCTTCAGTAAGGAAAACAGGCAAGGAAGCCTTTTGACTTCACAGCTGGTTTCATACTGCACATGTTCAAAGCACACTGCACTTTGTGAATGGTCCCACAGTCTTCTGGGACCTGTGCAGTGTTCCAGAAGGCTGTGGGGGAAGGAAGGGGGGGAAACTAAACTTCCGGCTCTGATCACCGTTAAAAGCAGGTACCCACTCACCCCCAAAAAGTGCCAAATGTGGCACTGGAGGGGGGGGGGGGGAGATGTAAACAAGCAGAGCTTCCCCTTTTGGGTGAATTTTTGCTTTAACTGATACATTTGTAGGAGAGCTTGTTCTGTTAAAAAAAAAACAACAGACTTACTGGCTAGATTACCAGATGAAAGGAAACGTAAAAAAGAAACATGAACACAGCCAACATGTGTAAGAATTGGTAAGCTGCAATATACTAAATGTTTGCCTTTGGGTTTTAAGTTAGGTTCACATTAGTGCGGGCCATGCGGCCTGCGTTTGTGAAGGCACGGCAGCCCATTCATTTGAATGAGCTGCTGTGCCCACATTTCACGCAAAACAAAGGTGCATGCACCTTTTCAAAAACGCGTCTGCAGGGAAAGCGCATGGTCTTGTTGACCATTCCGTTTCCCTGCGGTTCCCACACCCAAGATCATGCTGCGGCCTGAGGTGCATGGGGGTACCATTCAGAATGAATGGCATCTTGTAAAAGCAGCAGCGCGATGGAATCGCACCTGTTCTTGGACCTGTGGGCTAGTGTGAACAAGGGCTAATTCCACTTCTTCAGGAATATTTAGATTCAGGCTTTTCTTTCACTTTAACATCCAGATCTACTTATAGTATTTTGGAATGTAGATATAGCCATTATGAGCAGGAGTTCCCTGTGGAGCAGACATTTATTTGAAGGGTCCCTCCATGCTGGAAAGGTTGAGAATGTCTGCTCAGCAGAACAGAAGCTGGTGACAGAGTGAAGCCTTCTAATCAATATGAGGGGGCGGGGTCAGCGGTCCATCCTGTGTCTGTGAGATCCGAGCAGCACAGATGCTCCATTCTCCGGGATGTGTCACTATGCTGGCAGCTAGATTCCCGCAGGTCATGATGCAGTGCGGGGGACATCTGTGCACAGCGGCTTAGTGCAGAAGAGGAGGAGGAGGGGGGAGAGCAGCGATCGGATCTGACAGCCAGGGGGGAGACATGTCCCATATGTTGCAGGCGGCCGATCGGGTGCCATGGAAGAAGAAGTCGGCGGTGAAGAAGGCAGCCCTCCTGCTGGCCGCAGTGTACGGAGTGAAGACCCTCTACCCCATCCTGTGCAGGCAGCTCCGTAAGAAGGAGCCCAGTCCGTGCAGGCATACCCTCCAGAGCCGGGATGGGGGATGCAGCTCGCCCTCCTCCCCCGCTGTCAATGCGGAATTCTACCGGCAGCTGCTGGAGCTTCGGAAGATCCTCTTCCCCCGGCTGCTGAGCAAGGAGCTGGCGCTGCTGTCGGTGCATTCGCTGGCGCTGATCTCCAGGACCTTCCTGTCCGTCTACGTTGCGGGTTTGGACGGGAAGATCGTGAAGAGCATCGTGGAGAAGAAGCCGAGGAGCTTCCTGCTGCAGCTGATGAAATGGCTCCTCATCGCCATCCCGGCCACCTTTGTAAATAGCGCCATCCGCTACCTGGAGTGTAAGCTGGCCCTGGCTCTGCGCACCCGCCTGGTGGACCATGCCTATCAGACCTACTTCGCCGATCAGACCTATTATAAGGTCATCAACATGGATGGCAGGCTGGCCAACCCCGACCAGTCCCTGACCGATGACATTATGATGTTCTCCCAGTCTATAGCGCACCTGTACTCCAACCTGACCAAACCTATCCTGGACGTGGTGCTGACATCCTACACTCTCATCCAGACTGCTAGATCTAGAGGAGCTAATCCCCTGGGGCCTACCCTGCTGGCTGGCCTTGTGGTTTATACAACAGCCAAGGTGCTCAAAGCATGCTCCCCCAAATTCGGCAAGCTGGTGGCGGAAGAAGCCCATAGGAAGGGCTACCTGCGCTACGTCCATTCTCGAATCATAGCCAATGTAGAAGAAATAGCCTTCTACCGGGGTCACAAGGTAAGACAGATGAGAAGAATCCAGGAGTGAAATGTGAGATGCCCTGGGAAGATGCTGCTATTGTGATGCTGATTGAATCCCATCCCCCCTCTTATTATGTAGAACTCTTTCCTCTAGAAATTTAAAACTGGCTACGAAACCGTGTACCACTAGCGCAAAAGGCACAGTTGGCTCAGCATGTGGTACAGCTGTCATTTTGTTTGTTGTGTCATTTTATACAGTGCCCTGCAATGGTATTATTTAATGGTTGCACTATATTGTTGACCACATGCTGCATGCACTGTACTGTATATCTGGTCTATAAACACATCCAGGTAAATCAGATGCATAAATGTATAGATCAGGGGTCTCCAAACTCCAAAGAAAGGGCCAGTTTACTATCCTTCAGACTTTAAGGTGCCAAATTGTGGCCTGTGGGGGTAGAAAATGTCCCAGGCCCTGAATCAGTGAAAATAAACATAGCCTTGGGGTGGGTGGTCAGTAGGATGAGGAATAGTGCCTCACCAGTAGTATAATGGGAGGAATAGTGCCCTACCATTGGTATCGGTGAGAGGAATAGTGCCCTACCATCATTAGTATCGGTGGGAGGAATAGTGCCCTACCATTGGTATCAGTGGGAGGAATAGTGCCCCACCATTGCTATCGGTGGGAGGAATAGTGTCCTACCATTGGTATCAGTGAGAGGAATAGTGCCCCATCATTGGTATCGGTGGGAGGAATAGTGCCCCACCATTGGTATCGGTGGGAGGAATAGTGCCCCTACCGTTGGTATCAGTGGGAGGGATAGTGCCCCACCATAAACATTAAAAAACATTCCTCTGCTGATTTTTCACTATAATCAGTGTACAATTGAAAAATCCAAGCACTCCTAAAAACCCCATTTAGACACATTTATGAGCATTCAGGCGTTTTTGTGAGCTCAAAAACTACTTGTCAGAACATGACTTTGGATGTTTTTTTCTTCTGCTTCGAAACTCCCCTGCTACTAAACTCCTGAAAACGCCTATAGTGTGCATGGACACAAAGGCTAACATAAAGGAGTTTAGAGGCAGATAAAAAAAAAAGCTCCAATACCTGTAAAAGCAGCTTTTTTTGAGCTACTATGTGCATGAGCCCTTAGGCCCTTTTCACACAGACGGACTCTGCCAAGCGGATCTGCCTTCTCAGTGGATGATCTGTCCGCTGATCCCCACTGAGCAGGCGAATGACAGGTCCATGTTTGCTCTTCTTGTGCAAAGTGGTCATGGACACGGCCCGCTGTTCTCTATTATTTTCTATGGGGCAGTCGGATGTAAACGAACCGCCTGTCCATTTACATCCAACTGTTATCCAATCCGCTAGACGAATGGGGAAAGTATTCCCCATCTGTCTGTTTTTAGTGGATTGGATCAGATGCAGGTGGGTGTAAATGGACACTTGTCCATTTACATCTGCCTCCCCATAGAGAACAATGGATGGTCTGATCAGGTCCGCCTGGAAAACAGACAGGCGGACCCAATCGGTTTGCCTGTGTGAAAGGGGCCTTGGGCTGCTTTCAAACTTCTCCAATGCAAAAATGGGGTAAAAATGTATATGCATTTTTGTCACGTTCTGGTACGTTTAGCACCTGTGAAAAAAGGATATGTGACTCAAAAAATGCAACTGCGTGTGGGTTTTTGATGCGTTTTTGCCTCGTTTTTGATGCATTTCCATTCATTTCAAAAGTGCATTTTTGGTGATTTTTTTTTTGCCACACCAAAAGAGTTCATAGGATTTATTGGTCATGCATTTTTATTCCCCTTTTGGTAATTCAAAAACATAAGAAACACTGATCAGTGTGAAAGAGCCCTAAAGTACTGTGCGGATAAGTTGTATTTATTAACCAGGGTGGACATTGCATTTGTGCAGACTGTTCAGGGGCCCTCTGGGACCTAGGTGGCTACTCATACTAGATGTGGTTCTGATGGTGCAGGGGTACCTTCTGCTGTCACATAGACTTGAGTACTGCAAGTCTACAGATGTACTGTCAGATACAATAGTGATCCTATGTAACCTACTGTATGGAGGATCGCTGTTATGACAGGAGATGGAGATCACAGAGAGCCCTCATCTCCTCACTACTCCTGTTGTTCTCGCATGTAATATTGGGGAGGGGGAGCTTGTGGAGGAGGGGTGGGGGGGATGTATTAGGAAGCAGGTTTGGGGAAGATTTGTGCAAGGAGGGGGTAATTGGGGGGGGGTAATTGTGCTAGGAGGGGGATTTGGGGGGAGTGGATTTGTGCTAGCAGGGGGGAATTAGAGGGGGGGATTAGTTCTATGTAGGGAGAACTGGGGGTGGTATGTGCTACTAGAGGGATTTGTGCTGGGAAGGGTAATTTGTAAGCGGTTGTTCTAGGAGGAGGAATTTGGGGGGGGATTTGTACTAGAAGGGGGGATTTGTACTAGAAGCAGTGATTTGTAGTAGGCGGGGGGATTGGGGGGGTTTGTACTGGGGTGAGGATTTGTGCTGGAAGGGGGGAGTATTTGTACTAGGAGTGGGGATTTGGGGGAGAGGATTTGTGCTGGGAGTGGGGGGAATTTGTACTAGGAGGGGTGATTTGTAATAGGAGGGAGGATTTGTACTAAAATGGGGGCTTGGGGTGGCTTTGTACTTGGGGGATGATTTGTGCTGGGGGGGGGATTTGTACTAGGAGGGGAGATTTGAGGAGAGGATTTAGGCTAGGAGTGAGGATTTGGGGGAGAGGATTTGTGCTGGGAGTGGGGGGAATTTGTACTGGGAGAGGGATTGGGGAGATAATTTGTACTAGGAGGGGGGATTTGAGGAGAGAATTAGTATTTGGAGTGGGGATTTGGGGGAGAGGGTTTGTACTAGGAGGGGGGATTTGGAAGGGAAGAGGATGTGTGCTGGGGAGGGGTGGTTTTTGGGGCATGGAAGATTCGTTAGGGATTGGGGATTTGAGCTGAAAGGTGGCATTGGGGAGCAAAGATGGGGAATTTTTGCATTTTTGTTTGGGTAGAATTTGGGCTTGCAGAAGGAATTTTTGCTTAGGGGGTGAGCATGTTGATTAGTGCTGTTTGTTTTGGGGGGGGGGGGGGGGCACAGTTTGTCACCTTTACCTTGAATGCTAGAAGACCTTGTCCTGGCACGGCCTGCACTGCACACAAGGCACTCAACTGATCTCCTCCCCACACATAACACATAGCTGAAATAAGATTCCCTACAGTATCGTTCTGCACAATGTGTAGCTAGCTGCAGTTGCAGCTCTGACCTGCGAAATCCCCTGATTGGATTGGCATCTGCAGCAGCCAGCTATACACTGTGTGGAGGAATACTGATCTCAGATATGTGCTGTGTGGGGGGGGAGGAGATCTCTTAAGTGCCTTGCCAGCAGTGGCCCTGTCCTCAACTCTGCTGACCACTGTCTTCCGCCATGCTGACTCCTGTAGCCTGCCCTACTAACACCTATCCTCTGCACTGCTGACCCCATCTTTTGTCCTGTTGACCCCTGTCCTCTGCCATGCTAACCCCTGTACACTGCCCTACAAACTGTCCCCTGCTCCCCTGACATTTTTTACTGCACCCCCAAAATTAGACAGGCTAGATTCGGCCCTGCCCAAAAGTCTCCATACATAGGAAAAAGTAACAAACTCATATTAGGAGTGGGGGAGAAGACTTCATATGTGTGTAGAAAAAGGTGGCCAACACATGGAGAATATTTTGTAAATATTTTGTACATTTTGTAATAAATATTTTGTAAATAATGGTACTTTTGGCTACAATTTCCCATTTTCCCTATGTATGGTGACTTTTAGAACATCCTGTATTTATCTATGGATATGTGTTGTACTTAGGTTGTACTTTAATAGGAAGGAGGTCTAAAAACGAAACGTGTACAAGAGCCCTTTGGGTTTTTGTCCAGCAAATTGGTATTAGTTGAAAAACGCCAATGCAGAGTGTTGGCGCTCTTGCGCAAAGGCTGCCTGAGCCTGTTCAGCGTAATTCCTGGCTTATTTCCTCCACCTAATTGAAGCATACAGCCTGTCATTAGCACAAATGGCTGTGTGCTGCTGTACTTGTGTATACAGTGAAGTTATTGTAGATTCGTACGCTGTACAATGTTTATAATAGGACTAATGTATACAGGAGTACAGAACCATTTGCCTGGATGGAAGAAATATGTAATTACACTGAACGGGTTTGTCGAAGAGACCTTAATGGCCTGTTCGCACCAGGTATATTAGGACTGAGCTAGGCAGTCTTGCCCAGTGCAATTCCAGTGCAAGACAAGGAAAAAAGTCTTGTTCCCTATCAGGGTAGGTCACATCACCTTGCTGCAGTTGAGTATGCTACAAAAAGCATGGCATGCACTACTTTTTTGGTGCAGCATGGTGTAACCAAACAGAAAAAAAACAGTGCCATGCGCTGGGATTGGCACATCAGCACTATTCCTCCCAGCGCACAGCAGCCATGCGTTAAGCGTGGTTGCTGGTGTGAACAAGCCCTAAATCATTATTTAGCATATGAAAGGCCCATACATCAACCAAGAGAAAATAAAACAAGCCCAGAAGTTGTTGTTGCCAATCAAAACCAATCGGGTTTTGCTTTTTCTTTTATGGAAAGATGAAACAAGAATTTTGTTTGTGGTCTCCAATATAGGATAACTCGATTTCTTGTTTTAGTTTGTCCAGTTAATGTAAATCAACTTCACTGTCCTAGATAAATATATTGTGACAGAACAGTAATGTAAGTGAACTGATCTCTGGACCAATCTTGTGCCTTTTTTAAAATTCTTTATTTTCAGTGACAAAATTTACAATACAACCGAAAAAACAAACCCTAGATGCCGCTGCAGTGCGGCTTAACATACAGCATTGCATTAACATTGCATTGGTTCAAACATAGTAATGACAAGAAATCCACAAAACATAATAGATTACTCCACAAAAGGGGGTCAGTCATGTGACTTTTAACCTGTATACTCATTTGTAAGTGAACGTCTCTCACTTGGCTAGCAATAACTTATAAGTTATGTATTACCTACTACTAACTGATGAATATAATGGGAGAGAATGCTCTAGTCATGAAATCCTCAACCAACAAGACTACAGTGAAATCCAGAATTACGGTGTGCACATTTATTCTTGCAATGCCCACGTTTTATTTTTATGCTGAAATGCAACATAAAAACCACGCATGGGTGGGGGGGAAATATACTTACCTTCAAGAGGTGGCGCTATCCTATTGCTGCCAGAATCCTGGGGAATGGTGGTAACTCCAAATCTCACGTGAAGACTGTGCTGGGAGCTTCTTCTCAACGAGATTTAGAGTACTCTACATTTTTCAGATCTTGCCGGAGGTAGAATAACGTTAACCTCGCCTATGCGCCATGGTCAGAAGCTGGGTAAAGGTAACTACATCATTTCAGGAAGGGGGCTCATTTATAAAATGGTCTCTGCATTTTAGGTGCAAGGTCTGCTTTCATTTATAGTGTCTTAATGTATTAAAGCTGATTTCTAACCAAAACATTGTTTTAGTCTTGGATAGACTGGATTCTATAAATTTTATATAGCTCTCCCTGGCTTGCCCTGAGAACATTCCACCTCACTTCCTATGCCTGCCCCAAGAATAGAAGGGGACAGTAAGTGTGTATTTGGGGTGAAGGTCCTCTATAAGTATTTAAACACTTCTGAACTATTGTACATATTAACTGTTGAACTGTTTTGTCTTCCACTGAAAGGAAAGATGGATAAGCTTTCCAGAATTGTCAGAAATAATGCACAGTCAATCAAATTATATTCTTTACTCAGCTTGTACCCTTTTAATATTAAATTCCAATATACAGTATCCATGATACAATTCACTGGTCCATGATAACAGTTTTTCTTCAAGCCCTATGGCCCCTATCAAAACAATCTGTTTGAAGTGTATGTTTAGCCAAACGTTTTTATGTTGGGTTTTTAATAGAAAAGAGAATGGTTAAAATTCCTGGTTTTTTTTCTTTTGTAGTCTATGTCCTGTTGGGGAGATTTTACTTTACTTCCTGCCTGGCAGACAAAATGGGTGGATGTACTAAAGGCAAATAGACCTCAGTTTGCAAGTGCAGTTGCTCCAGAGTTTGTAAATGAGGTGAGGCTTCACTTTGCAAAGAATACTGAATCACATGCAAAGGAAATAACAAAAAAAAACAAAACAGCATTTTTGATTGCACATGATTGGGTGATGGAATCCAGCAGAGCTTCCTCTCATTTACTAAGCTCTGGCGTAACTGCACTTCTGAAGTGCATAGTCTATTTTCCTTTAGTAAATTCACTCCATCAGAAGTAAGGGGAAATACCATTTAAGAGAGTTGTCATTCTAAATTCTGTTCCCATGGGAAGAATTTACCTCACTTCCTTTTCCAGTTACAACTGTAAGAATGTGGACTTTCCATGACTTACAGCGGACAGCTCTAACCCTTTGCTGTTCTATACCAAACACAAAACCAATGAGTAGGGAGTACACTTCAAAAATACTATGGTCTGTTTGTAACCAGTAATTCATTAGAACAGTGGTTGTCAGCTTGCAAGGTATTTATAGTAGCTCTAAAGCCTCAACCCCAGCCCCTAATATCATCAAAGGGCCACAAATGATGGTCAGTATATGTATATGTAAGAGAAGACTGTTGGAGACTGCAGATATACTAACAAAAATGATAGTCAGAGACTGGATATACTACAGGTTTTGTTGGAGACTGGAGACATGATAAAGAAGACCGTAACAGGGACATACTATGCGAGGTCACAAAAGCTGTATCACCCCAATGCTCACACTTCTACTACAGACTGCTGGGGTCCAATGGTGGCATGAGAAGCATCAAATGACTGCATGGTAGCCTTGGGCTTCAGGCTGGGCACCAGGGCATTAGACACATCAGTTAAAAAATACAATGCTGTACTGTGTTTAGAGTTAAAAGGACATGCTCTTTTTAAGACTGCTAGCTCTCTGACTGTTCTGCTGATGCTTTTGGCTGTCTGATCTGTTGACCTGGAACAGGTATAGAGATAAGGAATTGGAACACTTTTCTGATCATCATTTAAAGCATGCTTGTTCCAGGTACATTATTTAAAAGTCAGGCATAGCCAGGAAACTAGCATTTTTTAAAATACATTTTATTGAGTTTAATATTGAAAAATACAATAGTACATGGAGATCAAAAGCAATGGCATTTGTACATCTGTAAAGATGACAACATTATACCATTATAAAAGCTATAATGTCTATAGATCACAAAGATCTATAATATATGTATATATATATATATATATATATATATATATATATACTATATTGCCAAAAGTAATGGTTTGCCAGCCTTTACATGCAAATGAACTTTAATGGCATCCCAGTCTTTGTCCGTAGGGTTCAATATTGAGTTGGCTCCCCCTTTGCAGCTATAACAGCTTCAACTCTTCTGGGAAGGCTGCCCACGAGGTTTAGGAGTGTCTATGGGAATGTTTGACCATTCTTCCAGAAACGCATTTGTGATGTCAGGCACTGATGTCTGATGAGAAGACCTGGCTCGCAGTCTCTGCTTTTATTCATCCCAAAGGTGTTCTATCAGGTTGAGGTCAGGACTCTGTGCAGGTCAGTCAAGTTCCTCCACCCCAAACTCACTCATCCATGTCTTTATGGACCTTGCTTTGTGCACTGGTGTGCAGTCATGTTGGAACAGGAATGGGCCATCCCCAAACTGTTCCCACAAAGTTAGGAGCATGAAATTGTCCAAAATGTCTTGGTATGCTGACTCCTTAAGAGTTCTCTTTACTGGAGCCAAGGGGCCATGCCCAACCCCTGAAAAACAACCTCACACCATAATACCCCCTCCACCTTACTTTATGCTTAGCACAATGCAGTAAGGCAAGTTCAGTTCTCCTGGCAACCGTCAAACCCAGACACGTCCATTGGATTGCTAGACAGAGAAGTGTGATTCGTCACTCCATAGAATACGTCTCCATTGCTCTAGAGTCCAGTGGCAGCATGCTTTACACCACTGCATCCGACTCTTTGCATTACACTTGGTGATGTAAGGCTTGGATGCAGCTGCTCGGCCATGGAAACCCATTCCATGAAACTCTCTACACACTGTTGTGCTAATATGAAGGTCACATGAAGTTTGGAGGTCTTTAGCTATTGCCTCTGCAGACAGTAGGCAACTTATGCGCACTGTGCGCTTCAGCATGCTCTGCCCCCGCTCTGTCATTTTACGTAGCCTACCAATTCGTGGATGAGATGCTGTTGTTCCCATTTGCTTTCACTCTGTTATAATACCACTAACAGTTGACCGTAGAATATTTAATAGCAAGGAAATTTCACAGATGGACTTATTGCACAGGTGGCAACCTATCACGGTACCACTCTTGAATTCACTGAGCTCCTGAGAGCGACCCATTCTTTCACAAATGTTTGTAGAAGCAGTCTGCATGCCTAGGTGCTTGATTTTATACACCTGTGGCAATGAAGGTGATTGAGTACAATGATTTGGAGGGGTGGCAATATAGTGTGTGTGTGTGTATGTATATGTATGTGTGTATATATATATATATATATATATATATATATATATGTATATACACAAACACACACTCACACCTTACCCTGGGGGGTAACGAGGTATGGATGGTGGGTCCCCAGGGGATCACCCCTGACAAAATGAGAGAGTCAGGGTGACCTCTCAAAGGGGCCGAATTAGCAATACACATAATTAGACAGATAAATGCCTCCTGCAAGAGAAAAGAGGAAAAGGAGAGGGAAAAGGGAGGGTGGAAACTAGCGTTTTTAAAAGGATGTCATCAATGATAACCTCCATGTGCCTGTTACAAGTCACTGTAACATACTTAAATGTCAAACTGTTTGTTCATTTGTATCAATAACTGCTATTATGAATTTGTTCCTTCTTTTATTTAATACTATCACTAAGGTTTTTTTTTTTTTCATTTTTAGGTAGAAATGGCAAAACTTCAAAAAAGTTATATGGCACTAGCAGATCAAATGAATCTTATTTTGTCTAAACGTTTGTGGTATGTCATGATTGAGCAGTTCTTGATGAAATATGTGTGGAGTGGAAGCGGCTTGGTTATGGTTGCTGTGCCCATCATCACTGCAACAGGTTTTGCAGATGGAGGTAATTTCTACACTCTTATATGTTCAGAATTTAGTACAATATGGACCATGTTATCAGTTTTGGGGTACATTTTTTTCTATCATTGTCACCGCACATAATACAAATACCTATGTATCTATAGTATATATAGTAAAAAAAAACCCAGACATAACAGTCTGACGGGTCCTTCAAGTTAACCGTGTCGTTGCTTCTTTAATCATCTACCCTCATAGTCTTGTGATTTAAAACAACCAGGAAGCCAGTTTTTTCCAAAAAAGGAAGGTGAAGGTAGTGGTCAGTCTAAAAGACTTAGGAAGGGTTGGTGGAAGGGCATGTAGACTACAAAATAGAAAAACACAAGAAAGTAAGACAAAGAAAGAGAAAAGAAAAGGATAGTGGAAAGTAGGAAGACCGTGAGCAAAGAGCATGAAGCAAAAGCAGAAACAGCTCAGACATAAAGTATATGAGCTACTTTTTCTATTAACCATATTATTATTATACAGGATTTATATAGCACCAACAGTTTGCGCAGTGCTTTACAATATAAAGGGAGACAATACAGCAACGATACAGTTCAATACAAGAGGGTTAGGAGGGTCCTGCTCCTTGGAGCTTACAATCTAAGAGGGAGGGGCTGGTTGTACAAAAGGTAATAACTGTGGGGGATAAACTGATAAGAGAAATAGAAGAGTCAGTTATTAGCTGAAGGCAGGATAGGCTTCCCTGAAGAGATAGGTTTTCAGAGATTGCCTAAAAGTGGGCAGAATAGTCAATAGTCAGATAGATTGAGGTAGAGAGTTCCAGAGGATGGGGAGGCTCTGGAGAAGTCCTGGAGGCATGCATGGGAGAAGGAGACAAGGGAGCTAGAGAGCAGGAGGTAGTGGGAGGATCGGAGAGGACGGTTTTGGGTAATATTTGGAGACAAGATTGGTGATGTAATTTGGGGCATAGTTATAAATGGCTTTATATGTTATTGTTAATGTTTTGAATTTTATCCGTTGCGCAATGGGAAGCCAGTGGAGGGATTGGCAGAGAGGGATGGCACATATGGAACGGTTGGTAAGGTGGATGAGTCTGCCAGCAGCATTCATGATAGACTGAAGAGGGGATAGCCTGCAATTAGGCAGGCCAATGAGGAGGGAGTTACAATAGTCAAGGCGAGAGATAACAAGGGAGTGAATAAGTTGATTCGTGGTTTCACAGGTTAAAAACGGGCATATCTTGGAAATGTTGCGAGGGTGAAGTCTACAAGATTTGAACAGTGATTGGATTTGGGGCTGAAAGGACAGATGGGAGATAAGGATTACACCTAGTACCCTGGCATGAGGGGATGGACTGATGGTTGTATTAGTGATCTTGATAAAGAAGTCAGGTAAGGGGGCACGGGCTGGAGGGAGGGAATAGTTTGAGCTCCGTTTTAGAAAGATTTAGCTTGAGAAAGTGGAGTGACATCCATGCCATATGTCACTTAGTAGGTTAGTAATGCGAGAGGAGACTGAAGGGGTGAAGTGAGGTGTAGAAAGATAGATTTGTGTGTCATCAGCATAGAGATGGTACTTAAAGCCATGGGAGTTTATCAAGTGACCAAGGGAGGAGGTGTAGATGGAGAAGAGAAGGGGTCCAAGGACAGAACCTTGAGGGACCCCTACAGAAAAAAGAAGTGGAGAGGAGGAGACAGAGTTATAGGTAACGCTGAAAGAGCACTGCAATAGGTAGGAGGAGATCTGTTAGGTTCCTACCAGTGGTAGCCTCTAGCGCTCCACAGACCGGAATCCCCAAGGGCGCGGAATCTAAGCCCACCTGCTTGTTCACCAGGGCCCCTGATGGTGGGGATGGACTTGGAGCAGGCCTAGACCAGGTCGCGGCCCCTGGGTTCACCCAGCCGTGGTAGAAGCACCGCTGGAGGTGTGTAGCAGGTGAGAGCCTGATGTGAGGAGTCAACAAGAGCAGCGTCGGGCTGGCTGGGTCGGTAACGGTGGTGGCTTCATTAACCTTGCGTTCTACTTGGAAGGGTCCCACAAATTTGGGTGCCAATTTCCTAGATGGACATGTCAGTTTTAGGTTGGCTGTTGACAACCAAACCCGATCCCCAGGGTGTATGATCAATTCTCCCTTTCTCCTCTCACAGAACGTTTTACTATCTTCTTGGGCCTTAGCCATTGTTTCCTGTAATAACTTGTTATTGGTAGTATAGAATTCTAAGGTGTCCTGGGCTGCAGGGACTGAGTTCTCTATAACCAGGTCAGGCAAGAAGGTAGGGTGGAACCCATAGTTGGCGAAGAATGGGGATTGGTTGGTGGCGGAATGATTCGCATTATTATATGCGAATTCTGCCATTGGTAGAAGTGTCAGCCAGTCATCCTGTAGGAATGATGTATAACATCTCAGATATTGCTCGAGCGTCTGATTAGTTCGCTCTGTCTGCCCGTTAGTCTGTGGGTGATATGCAGACGAAAAAGATAACTTGATCTCCAACCCCTCACATAGCGCTTTCCAGAATCTGGATGTAAATTGCACTCCCCGGTCCGAGACAATCTCTTTTGGCACTCCGTGAAGCCTCACAATTTCTTTAATGAACACTTGGGCTGTAGTCGACACAAGGTCTCAGTGATCGGTCCTTTTTTTTGACTAAAAAGATCCCTGCCCCGGCCGGTGATTTAGAAGGGCGGATAAATCCTTCCGGAGGCTCTCATCAATGTATTCCTTCAGGGCCCCTAGCTCACATTCTGACAGTGGGAAAATGCGTCCGAAAAGGATTTCAGAACCTGGGAGCAGATCAATGGGACAATCATATGCCTGATGCGGGGGAAGAATCTCTGCCCCCCGTGGACTAAACACATCAAGGAATTGATGATAGGTCGCAGGCACAATTTGGGCTAACTCGGCATCAGGGCTCACAGCTAATAGGGTTGGCGTATCTAGTGACAACCTAGATAAGCAATGTTCCTGACAGTATAGTGAGGGGAACTGGACTGACCTGGTCTTCCAGTCAATTTGGGGGTCGTGAGCTCGTAGCCAGGGGAGCCCCAGAATAACTGGAAATAGGGGGGACGCAATGGCGTCCAAACGGAGAAGCTCCTGATGATGCCCCACCACTGTGGTGTGTATAGGAGGGGTCTCCCGATCTCCCGAGACCAGGTTGCGGCCCCTGGATTCACCCAGCTGCGGTAGAAGCACCGCTGGAGATGTGTAGCAGGTGAGAGCCTGATGTGAGGAGGTAACAAGAGCAGCGTCAGGCTGGCCGGGTCGGTAACGGTGGTGGCGGCGTGTTACAAAATCAGCAGGCAGAGGGATAAACAGGTCACAAGCCGAGTTCGGTAACAGGAAATCAGAACGTGCAGGGTTAAGCAGGAGAATGGTCAGACAAGCCAGGGATCAGAACAGGAGACAGACAGCAAATCAGGGTCAGGCAGGGTCGGCAACAAGACAATCTACAATGCAGGAACTCAGGATACAGGTAAGACCATACGGCAACTAAACACAGCCCTGACCTGTTTTTAAATAGGGCGCCCTGCGCCCTGATTGGTGCCAGGCTCGCATCCGCGAGTGCACATGCGCGAGTGCCGCTGCAATCGCGGGTGCCCCGGTCCCAATGCTCACATGCTAGTGCGGCCGGGCACACCGTGCATGCGCAGACTCGTGCATGATCGCGGCCAGCTCTGGGTCCCTGACAAGAACAAGGAGAGAACAGAGTCTCGGAGGCCTAGAGAGTGGAGTTTTTTGAGGAGGAGGGGATGGCCAACAGTTTCAAAAGCCACAGAGAGGTCAAGTAGTAAGAGTATGCAGTAGTGGACATTGGTATTCAAATTTATTATGGTAAAGCACTGGAATTTTGAGACATACAGTTGCAAGAAAAAGTATGTGAACCCCTTGGGATTACGTGGAGTTTTGCATGAATTGGGCATAAAATGTGCTCTGAACGTCATCTAAGTCACAACAATAGAAGAACACAGTCTGCTGAACATAATACTACACAAACATTAGATGTTGCCATGGTTTAATTGCACATAACATGTAAACATTCACAGTGCAGGGAGGAAAAAGTATGTGAACCTTTGGACTTAATAACTGGTTGACCCTCCTTTGGCAGCAATAACCTCAACCAAACGTTTCCTGTAGTTGCAGATCAGACCTGCACAACAATCTGGAGTAATTTTGGACCACTCCTCTTCACAAAACTGTTTCAGTGTAGCAATATTCTTGGGATGTCTGGTGTGAATCGCTCTCCTAAGGTCATGCCACAGCATTTCAATCGGATTGAGGTCAGGACTCTGTCACTCCAGAAGGCGTATTCTGTGCTGTTGCAGCCATTGTTTTGTTGAATTACTTGTATGCTTTGGATCATTGTCCTGTTGCATCACTCATCCTCTGCGGAGCTTCAGTTGGCGGACAGATGGTCGTACGTTTTCCTGCAAAATGTCTTGATAAACTCTGGAATTCATTTTCCCATTAATGACAACAATCTGTCCATGCCCTGAGGCAGCATAGCAGCCCCAAACCATGATGCTCCCTCCGCCATGCTTTACAGTGGGGATGAGGTTTTGATGTTGGTGTGCTGTGCCTTTTTTTCTCCACACATAGTGTTGTGTGTTCTTCCCAAACAACTCAATCTTGGTTTCATCTGTCCACAGTATATTTTGCTAGTAGTGCTGTGGAACATCCAGGTGCTCTTTTGCAAACTTCAAACGTGCTGCAATATTCTTTTTGGACAGCAATGGCTTCCTCCGTGGTGTCCTCCCATGTACTCCATTCTTGTTTAATGTTTTCCTTATTGTAGATGTGTCAACAAAAATGTTAGCATGTGCCAGAGATTTCTGTAGGTCTTTAGCTGACACTCTGGGATTCTTCTTTACCTCATGCAGCATCCTGCGCTGTGCTCTTGCAGTCATTTTTACAGGACGACCACGCCTAGGGAGAGTAGCAACAGTGCTAAACTTTCTCCATTTGTAGACAGTCTGTCTTACCGTGGACACATGAACATCAAGGCTTTTGGAGATACTTTTGTAACCCTTTGCAGCTTCATGCAAGTCAACAATTCTTGATCGTAGGTCTTCTGAGAGCTCTTTTCTGCGAGGCATGGTTCACATCAGACAGTGCTTCTTGAAACCAGTAAACCCAAAACAGGTGTGTGTTTTTTAAGAGCAGGACAGCTGTCAGCAACACATCCAATATCATCACACTAATTGGAGTCAAGGTTGGCTCACTCCTGGCTCCAATTAGCTCGGGGAGAAGTCATTAAGCTAGGGCCTCACATACTTTTTCCTCCCTGCACTGTGAATGTTTACATGTTATGTGCAATTAAACTATGGCAACATCTAATGTTTGTGTAGTATTATGTTCAGCAGACTATGTTCTTCCATTGTTGTGACTTAGATGACGTTCAGAGCATATTTTATGCTCAATTCATGCAAAACTCCACATAATCCCAGGGGGTTCACATACTTTTTCTTGCAACTGTAACTCGTAAGTATTGGTACGTGGATGTAAAGTACTGTCAGGGTCTCTACGATGTCATAAACTTCTCTGAATTATGTAAGGTAGATGAAACATCTTCCATATAAAGAATCTTGTACAGTATATGTTTTGTAAATTAGGGATTTTTTTTTTAATCAAGGGCAGTCTTCACCCAGTTCATGAGAAAGACATGTTGAAATTTTGGTAGAAATTGTTAAAAAAAAAAGGAGGTGAATCTATAGAGATTCAGTTCTGAAATTTTGTCTTTCTGCTGAATACTGACAAGATAAATGTTAGCTGTCTAGCCCCTTTAGAACATTTCTGATGATCTTATCCAACTAGTCCTAATGTTGGCAATTAAGGGATAAAAATTACATTTTGTTTTGTTTGGCAATAAATCATGGGAAGCTAAATGCCAGAGATCTTTCACTTATAACAGCTACAATTTGGCAATGGATACATGTTTGTGTGTAAAGATGTAAGGCAACTGAGCATTTTAGCAATACTAGAGAGGAAACGCTGATCACCCTGACAAGGTAGTGTGGCTTATTAATCCTCATAAGCCTGTGATGGCCCAGTGGTTCATATTTTGTAATTTATACAATCAAAAGATTAGTATATGTTCCCATCTATAGCCACACAGATATTTCCTTGTAAATATGAAATTTTACATGTTTTCATAAACATGCAGGTTAAGTTCACTGTAATTATATCTGAAAGAGTATATACTATAGAAAAAAATAATTGTTCTCTAATCTGTTTATTCTTTAGATTTAGAAGATGGCCAGAAACATGCAATGGTGAGTGAACGTACTGAAGCCTTCACCACAGCTAGAAACCTGCTGGCTTCAGGAGCGGATGCAATTGAAAGAATTATGAGTTCATATAAAGAGGTACCACAAATAATATTAACTATAAATGCAAATATACCTGATATATGTATTTTTTAAACTGAACCTGTTATTTGGGATTCTTTAGTATTTTCCTATGTAATTGCATAAAAAAAATATACACAGAAAATAAAAGAATTTAAAAGAAATGTACTGTATGTCTCATCATCTTACAGTAAAGCTGTTCTTCAGTCATTTCTTTAAACATTAAAAGGCAGCTGCTACAAAAACTGTAGCGGCTGACTTTTAATAAACAGACACCCACCTGTCCAAAGATCCAGTGCTGTGCTCACCCGGGCCAGTTTCTTCACTGGTCTTCTGGTCCCCGGCACCAGCATGTTAACTGTGGGAAGCCGGCTTTGACTCCTTGCAGATTCACAGCCGGCTGCTCAAGCTGCACTACACTTTGTGAACGGTCCCGCAGTCTTTTTGGACCTGTGACATGTCACAGAAACTTGTGGGCAGGGAGAGGAGGAGAATTGTCAAAACTAGGAACCCCCCCCCCCACAAATAAAATGTTTCAAATATGGCGGGGGCGGGGGGGGAGAACGGAACTTTTCCTTTTGGGTGAAGTTCATTCAGCTTTAAGTTATTAAAACCAAAGTGCAAACTTTTTCATATGAGAAAAAAACCTCACTCAACTTAGTGCATCCATTCACACATGATTCATGAATGTTTGCACATGCACCAATAGGACTCAAAGTTGTGCATATTCTTATGCTGATACAATTTGCAAGAAAAAGTCCTATTCAGACTGGCCTCGTTACACATACTACTCTGCATGCTTCGCTGTTAGAAATCTTGCAAAGTAAAGCAATGCAATGGAGGGGAGTTTTACTGGAGAGTGATTGCTGGCCTTTCATTGATGCAGCTAAACAGGTTGTCAGAAGCCATGGGAAGCATGTGTAAACCTACCAAATCAGGCACATTAATATTAAATAAAATACAGATAAAAAACAGATCCCAACCAATATATTATAATCAGGGGCAAGTATGTTGGTGTAAGACTAGGGAACTTTACCCCATGTTGTTACTTCACAACTAAGTCAACAGAGGGACGCCCTGTTAAGATAAATATGGGGATAATGTATAATGGATAGATGTCCTACATACATATAGTAGATGAAGTCCAGGTTAATTATCAAGAAACACCCCCAAGTTAAGCTCTGTGTTTAGTCCAGTTGGGGTTAGGGTACCCACTCTGTATATCCACCTCTTTTCATGCTGGAGAAGGATTTGTATCAAAATCTCCTCTACGTGGAGGCAAATTCAGGGCAAATATCCCTTTAACCCTAAAACTTGAGGTGAGACCCCCCCATGTATCTCCTTGAAGTGGAGCGCCAGTGGATTGACTTTTTCTCCCTCTTTTTGCCTAACTTTACTCCTGATGACTCTCAGGTGTTCAGCGGTGTGGACACGAAGCAGTCGCTTGGTTTTGCCCACATAAAATTTCTTACGTCAATCATGTACAGCACCCAGTCAGTGGAGCAATTAATAAAGCTTCTAATATAAAAGGACCTCGAACAGTCTGCACTGGTGAACATCTTTACTTTATCAACAGACAAACCGAGCAGTGTCCACAAGGGAACATTCCTGTAGTTTAAGGCAGCCAGCCCATGGGGTATTCTTTTGTAAACTCGAAATGCACAAGGATGTCCTTTATTCGCGCTCTTTTCCACCATCAGGGATTTGGGGCCCACTATCTGTCTGTGCAATTTGAGGATTGGAGGTCAAAATATGCCAATGTTTAGTGAGGATAGATTTCACCTCTACTCATTGTGAACCATATTTGGTAATAAACCTTGTGGGACTTTGAATATCATTCCCACTGGAGAGATCTTGCTGCAGGTGAAAGAGGGTATTCCGCTCCCTACTGAGTGCGGGGTTCCTAGCTGATTTCAATACCCAATGGGAGTAGCCACTTTCCTGGTGCCTTTTATACATCTGGTTGAATTCCTTTCTGAATTCTTAATACGGAGGAATTGGCCCATATTGATCCCCCTTTTTAGAGACTCCTGATGGTGGCTATCCCATGGAGAAGGGGATCCCTCTGGGCTATCCATGTTTGATTTACCACTATGGATATTTATTCACAATTATGATCGCTATAATGCCGAGAGTTGTCCATAGCCAGGCTGGACTACACCTAGCTTAAGGAACCCACATGGATGACCGTTATGGTCCAATGGTTGTTTAGCCCTTTGCATGATAGCTAAACTGATGACAGCTCCAATCTGCTGCAATGGACTCTGTACTTAGCAAATACTAACTATTGCCTGCCTGCTTAGCTCTTTGCTTTTTCCTGCTGCCCTTGTTTATTGTCCTCTATTGCATGACAGCCATATATATATGGTGATTGATATGTTTGTTGGGGGAGCTTCCTCCACTGGTTTAACTACCTCACAGTCTTGATTTGACAGACCTACATATTATGGCTGGTTGTTGCCATGAGAGCAGCCACCTCAAACCCTGTGTTCTGATACTTCCCTTATTTTGAATTATTCAGTTGCTGTAGACATGCTCTATTTCTGAGCTGGGGTGAAAGTTTACAGAACATAGGGATTCTTGGTGGTAGACATCAGCCTTATGAAGTGTCTGAACTCCTAGTTTTTAGTTTATTGACAACATTGTCAAATTTTTAACTGGTGAAGGGCGGAGATTTATACTTTTGATTTATATTTCTTTCTTCTATTCTTATTCATGGTTTTCAATAAAGATTGTTTTATTTTAGTCATATTACTTGGATCTCATATGGTACCTCCTTTCTTTAGGGGTCTTTCCCTAAAACCTTTTTTTTTTTTTTTTCACGGATTCTAAACAGATTGAAATTGGGGTCCATTTTTTTTTTTTTACCTATAGTTTTACCATAAGTTCCAATTAAATCTTTGATGAAAGCATTGTAGCTTCAGAAATAGCTTACAGAAATATAAGCACATAGAAATAGCTTGGGTTCCATATGCTAATCATATTAGAAAGGCTTGCAATTAAGTACATTTTTTGCAGGCATGCTGGGTTAAATTACAGTATTGGTAGATACTTGAAGAACAGCTCCACAAGCCTTTACTATAAATTTACTTTTTTAAAGTGATTCCAAAGGTTTATTTTTTTAATAAATAAAAAAATAACAAACATGTCTATACTTACCTGCTGTGTGCAGTGGTTTTGCACAGAACAGCCCCGATCCTCCTTCTCAGGTCCCCTGCCGGCGCTCCTGGCCCCTCCCTCCTGTCGAGTACCCCCACAGCAAGCAGCTTGCTATGAGTGCACCCACTGCTCCATGTGTCCATTCACACACAGAGTCGCGGCTCGCCCCCCCTCTCTTCATTGGCTCACTGGCTGTGATTGACAGCAGTGGGAGCCAGTGGCTCTCGCTTTTGTCTCAGCTAATGAGAAGAGGGAGTCCCAGGATAGCCGAGACTCCAATGCACATCGTTGGATTGAGAGGGGGCTTTGGTAAGTATTAGGGGGGGCTGGGGGGGACTGCTGCACACAGAAGGTTTTTTACTTTAATGCATAGAATGCATAAAGGTAAAAAAACCTTGAAACTTTAGAACCACTTTAAGTGAACAGTCTACAATTTTAATCAATCAATACAGTGTCATTTGTAGAGGGATTTTGTGATGATCAAATGCTTGCTCTTCAATCTGTAAAAAAACATCAGTTCAAGCATCTTCACACATGAAAAAAGGTTTTCTTTTAAATTTGTTTGTTTTTTTTGTTTTTTTTTAACTTGGTTAACTTTAATCAGCCCTAATAATTCAATTTCTCTCATTACCCCCCTAGCTATTTTTGTTTGCTGTTTTCTTTATTTCTTATTGTATTATCATTCTTTATTTATTTGTTTCATAGGTTACGGAGTTAGCAGGATACACAGCAAGGGTTTACAACATGTTTTCTGTTTTTAATGAAGTAAAAAAAGGAATATACAAGAAATCAGTGATTCAAGAAACACAGATGCAACTAAAAAATCAAGAAAAAGCAGGATTGCACATAGAAGGGCCCCTTGAAATTAAAGGTAATTTTTATTATAAAGTACTATTTTTTTTTTTTTTTTTTATTAAACTAGAAGAAATAACTTTCTAAACCATATTATTTCCATTGTGTACTTTAAGCTGTTTCCTCAAATGTGACTTTTGAAATTACATCACACTAAAATATTCAAATATTCCATTTTGTTCTCTGTACAAAGGTTTAGGGAGCAGAGTTGACAAAATATCCTTAAAGCCTGTTCTTTGTTTTGCTATTCACAATGCTGAATTAACTAAATTTGAAAGCAGACTTAGATTTTGTAATGAGATCTGGTTAAAGATCAGGAACCAAGCAACTGCTGATCTGGTGAAAGGTCAGGAAAAAAAATCTGCAGCTATATCCAAATTTATTTTAAAGTCTTAAAAGAATGCCTTGTTTATGCAAAATAAATGTTTAATCGCATGGGTGGTAAAAATGCAATGCGCAATAAACAATAAAAAATAAGGGGTGTATTTATAAAGCAGTAAATTTGACTTTCACCAAACATTCTCTGGTATTAGTCACTCACTGTCATTTAAAAGACATTCACCTGCAGTGAATATTTGGCAATGTCAGATTAACTGCTTTATACTGTAAATATGCTCCTAAGTGTATTTTTGACACACCAGGTCATTGAACATATGCAGACAAAGCAAGTGGGTTGGCAAGAAGGAATACCAAGATTTTTGCAGATGTACATAGTTATAACTCACAGTCTCCTAGTAATACTATGTTGAATCGCAATTTGTCATGGATAGTCCCCACTGGCCATGGTGAGCATTTATCTAATAGGATACCACAGGGCTCAGGTAAAAATCTTCCAGTCAGTGCACCTATCATGTATACACACATCTGATTATAATAATTTGATGACAGATGTTGATGAACCTTTTACTGAAATGAATGGCATCTGTGATGTGCATGCATGAGGTGGTCAGTAGCCAGCTGTGTGGTGCTAGGCAGGCTACACAGTGGTGCATATCTTGATTTAGGTAAAGTATTTGATACGGTTAAAAAAAAATGTCGTGAGCTAGGATTTAACCCTTGGAAGACATGGGGGATGCACAGTTGGCTAAAGGATAGAAATCATAGTGCGTTGTAAATGGGGTTCATTTGGAACAGGGAGAAGTCACTAGTAGTGTACTACTGGGCTCTGTATTGAGTCCTGTTTTATGCAATCTGTTTGTAAGTGATAAAACTGAAGGTTTGGTGGTCAAAATACAGTATGTCTTTTTGCTGATGACACAAGGTAGTGCAATAGAGTTGATATTCCAAGAGGTGTTTGCTACGTTGAACAAGATGCACCCTCCCAAGAAAAAGAAAAAACTCTCTAACAATACACACTAAACTGAACATGTGCAGAGAGTCCCCGAGGCTGTGTTCTATCAGGAGATGAAATGGGGAATGTGGAAGAAGGGGAGGATCAGAGAAGACAGGATCAAACATCCTTTTTACACAAAATAGAGGATTACTGCATATACAGGCTGATTTTACTATTGTGGGTTTAGTAACAATTTAAGGAAAAAAAGAATCCTTTGAGAAAGTTCAATTATGGGGGTACAGTGTTGACCAGAATTACAGAGGCAAAAAAGATTGGTGGTCATTATTTCAGATGATGGAAAAATGAGCAGTGTGGCCTGGCAGGTGAAAAAAGCAAATAGAATTCTAAAGTGCATCAGTAGAGGGGTCACCAGCAGGAGGATGGAGGTTCTGATTCCCCTATATAGATCATTAATTAGACCATATTTAGAATACTGTGTCCAGCTCTGGAGACCTCACCTACAAAAACATTGATAAGGTAGAACGAGTCTAGAAACATGCAACAAAATAGTGAAAGGTGTGAAAGATAAAATATATCAGGAGAGACTGCAAACAGAGAGAGACCTTTAAATATATTAAAGCTGAAGTTTGTTGATTACTTTCACTGCCTGTAACATGGTATGTGAATGGGGGAGAGTGGAATGAGTCACGTGAGTACTACCCACACTCACAGATCATGTTACAGGCAGTAAAAGTAATACATTAAGTGTCTTCAGTGGAGGAGGATGGAATCTCTGCTGAACCGGCTGAATTTTGACCCATTAATGGCTGACTTTAGTAAATCAACCCCAATCAGTTTATTAAATGTAAACATGCTTGAGAGAAACCCAGATCTATACTCATACAAACAGGTTAATAAAAAGGAAGGGGGGGGGGGGGGTAGACTAGCTGGACCACCTTTTTTTCTGGCATGTTTCTAATTATAAAATGTTTTCTTTGAAATGTGATGGTACGTTTAGATTAGAAAGTAGGATGAACCATTTTTAATTTCAGTCATGTGAAAACAAAAATCCCTTTATTATTTTCCTTACACATGATGATTGCACAAATTGAAAATCCTTTCACCCTTTTTACCAAGCTAAACTAAGTAAACGTTCCCAAAGTGAACATTTTATGCTCCTTTAGTAAATCATTCCCTGTCTGCCTCCCCATTCATAGATTGTGTTCCATTCATGGAAGCTGTAGTATGGTTTCTATGAATGGTGGAGCTTGGCAGAAAGAGAGTGCCTAATTAGGCTAGGCCAGAATCTTTGACAGCCATTTAGCTGTAACAACCCCCGCCTAAGTGACATTTAAAATTTAATTTTAAAAGATTAATAACTTTACTATTCAGAGCTATTCAGGAAACAGGACAAATATAATGTTAACTTAACAAAGTATCGCTTATACATACCAGGGCTGTGTATTCCCTGAGATCTAAAACTTTTTTCAAGGGTTTCTTCATAGTAAAAGGTTTGATAAAGACTAGTCTATGGCATTCAATCATTAATGCTAATTAGAATATGAATGAAGATGATAAGTGTTGTTCCTTGGTTCCATTTTCCACAGGCAAAGTAATTGACGTTGAACATGGGATAATTTGTGAAAATGTTCCTATCATTACACCAAATGCAGATGTTGTGGTGTCTAAGTTAAACATAGAAGTAAGTAAAGTGTGTTAACTTTTATGAAATGCATATTTTAAATTTGTATAAGGTTGTGATTATAGAAGTAGAAGACGGTATAGCAAGTAAAACAATAGAATGTGCCCAAATGTGGTATCTGTTTAAATGTAATCAAAGGAAATTTTATAAAATTTACATATGGTTGCTGCCCATTCATCCAATTTTGTAGACTTTTAGTCTTTTAAAGTGGTGGGGATATGCTACCCAAGATGACTAGTTTTTTGGCATTGTCCTCTTCTCACCATTGCATTACAGGACAACAACCCCAAGGTTAATGCAGAACAAGTACAAATCCAGAAACCTACCTCTAAGCCCTCTATGTCGCTCAGATGATTACCGTATTTTCCGGCGTATAAGATGACTTTTTGACCCTTGAAAATCTTCTCAAAAGTCGGGGGTCGTCTTATACGCTGGTATACGGCATGCTGACACTTTTTAGGGGGGCGGTGCCTCCGCCGCCGCCCCCCCCTTCCAACGGAAGTGAAACTAAGTACAGGGGTAGGCAGGGGCTTCTGTTTCTTACCTGGCTCCGGTCCCACGACGATCCGGTCCAGGAAGCACAGCTGCTCCTTCCTTCAGTTCGGCCACTGGATGTTCGTGCGGCTGCTCGGCTCCGCCTCCTCACCAGTGATTGGCCGCGAGAACTGTAGCTCGGGAAAGGCACACAGGCGGCCAATCACGGGGGGAGGAGGCGGAGCCGAGCGGCCCCGCGAAAATCAAGTGAAGGTAAGTGTGCAGTGCACAGGTGCTGCTGCAACCATATATGTTTGCTGCAGCAGCACCATACTGAACAGGGGTCAGCAAGTGTCAGTGGGAGGAATAGTGCCCCATCATTGGTGTCACTGATACCAATGATGGGGCATTATTCCTCCCACTGACACCGACGATGGGGCACTTCCCCCCCCCCCCCACTGACACCAACGATGGGACACTATTCCCCCCCCACTGACACCAACGATGGGGCACTATTCCACCCCCCACTGACACCAATCATGGGACACTATTCCCCCCACTGACACCAATGATGGGGTGCTATTCCTCCCACTGACACCAATGATGGGGTGCTATTCCTCCCACTGACACACCAATGATGGGACACTATTCCTCCAACTGACACCAATGATGGGGTGCTATTCCTCCCACTGACACCAATGATGGGGTGCTATTCCTCCCACTGACACCAATGATGGGACACTATTCCTCCAACTGACACCAATGATGGGGTGCTATTCCTCCCACTGACACCAATGATGGGACACTATTCCTCCCACTGACACCAATGATGGGGTGCTATTCCTCCAACTGACACCAATGATGGGGTGCTATTCCTCCCACTGACCCCAATGATGGGACACTATTCCTCCCACTGACACCAATGATGGGGTGCTATTCCTCCCACTGACACCAATGATGGGGTGCTATTCCTCCCACTGACACCAATGAATGGGCACTATTCCTCCCACTGATACTAATGATGGGGCACGATTCTTCCCACTGGTGTGCATTGGAAGAGGGGTAGTCTTATACGGCGAGTATAGCCCAAACACTAGATTTTAACAGGAAAAGTAGGGGGTCGTCTTATGCCCAGTCGTCTTATACGCCGGAAAATACGGTATATTTATCCAGCTTGATAAAACATTCTTTCTAGAACAAGTTAGTGTTAATATACTGTATGTATAATTCTGGTTTCTATACAAAATTATTATGATTTTGTACAGAAACCCAACAATACATCAGAGTACTCCGGGCACTTATAGTCAATCAAAATATGTCTTTGTTAGAGAATAGCCTTTATACCCTTTAATGACCAGAGGGTCTGGTAATGATTTTGCTATACGGCCATACATATCTGTTTACATCCAGGATTTTTACAAAGTTTGTAGCTACAAACTATACTTTATCAGTTACAAGCTTGCCTAACCTTTTATTTTTCCCCCTATTTTTTGGCTCTAAAGCAAGCTAGCATTTTTACTTTTGCTTGCTATAATTCCACTTCAGGATATTGGTGTGTCCCATAGTGAGGCAGCAACTTTGCAGCATGATGGATAATGTAAAACCAAGTACAGGATAAACTATGGAGAGAATGTATGATGCTCAATAATTCATTATGGGTATGAACACTTCAATAGATACGCACTAAGATAAGATAAACAAAATCACTATGTTGTACAGCAGGAGGAACAGCATGTTTAAAGTGATTGTAAAGGATAATGTTTTTTTCACATTAATGCATTCTCTGCATTAAGGTAAAACAACCTTCCAAGATTAGTTACCCCAAGCCCCCCTCCCCAATACTTACCTGAGCCTGATCTCAATCCAGCACTGTGCCAGGGAGCTGCTCTCACTCTCTCTCTTTACTGGCTGCTGCTTTCAAACAAATCTAGTGAGGAGGGAGCGTTGGAGTCGAGTCGTGCTATGTCTGTCTATAGACACGCACAGCCCAGCTTGGGAGCAAGCCCTCACATCTGCTTCTATAGCAAGTGCCTACTGTGGGGGCAGACACTGAAGACGAGGAGCAGATAGCACCAGTGGGGGACCCCAGAAGAGAAGGTTTAGGGCCACTGACTAATTTCAATTGGTTCTCCATAAGCTAACTCATGCTAAGACTTTCATGCTAGCAGAGCATTCACATGAAAGAAAAGCTGAGTTCAGTGGTGGGTGCACTATGACTCTTGTGTACAGACTGGTGGTAATTTACCCTTGCAATAAAAGTTGAACCCCCTTAATTTACAACTGTTGTTGATTGTATTTTTGCTATGTAATCATTTATAAATGTCCTTAATACTCTCAATGTGCCATATTTCATAATAAAACATTTTTCTATAAAAAAAGTATAAGAAATATGTCTCAAAAGGCAGGAATATTAAAGAGGAACTTCACCCCCCCACTTAATATTTTCCCTGCTTACCTTATGCATGGCTCTTCACAGTTCAGATACCCAGAGGATCCAGCATTTGCCTGCTCAGATCCTCTTCTCTGCAGCCACTACTCAGGTCCTGCACCGCCATATTCCCTTGTGGTGTCATTGGGAGACTGCTTGCTTCCCCGGGTTTAGGGAAAGTCTCCTGATGATGTGCTAGATCCGCCCCCCCCCCCCCCTCTTCTTTTAGGGTTTGTTCACACCATGGTGCAGAGATGTCAGTTTTTCTGCACGTGTTCTGCAACAGCACAACAAAATTAATTGTTCTCTATGTGCCCTGTTCACACCACAACACTAGTATCACATGCAGATTATTTCTGTGCAGGAATTTGAACATGTATAAAACTAACTGAAAGGTACATGAAAACTGATGTAAACTGATGTCCCTGCAAGTTAAATCTGCGCAGCAGTTTCCATAAGTTTTTCATGCTCGTATGGTGTGAACGAGGCCTTAATGAATGGAATGACATGCTGTGCTCCTTTTGCTTCCTGGGATATGCACATCACACATCTCAGGAGGCATCAGTGGCATTGTCTTTTACATAGGTGAGCAGGGAGATTGGGGGGGGTGGGTTGAAAGCATTGAAGGCAAAATAAAGAGAGTAAACAAACCAAAAAAAAAAAAGGCAGCTATTTAGAGTGGGGGATGGACAAAGAGCAGGAAACTTTCCGAAATCAGTCCGCTTTAAAGCAGTTTCTGTAATCTTTGTGAATGCAATCAACAAAGCATTTATTTTTCCACTACAAAAATAATTACTGAATAAATAGGGGTAATAAAGGGCAACATAAGTCATTAAGTTAATTAATTTAAATTATATCTATAGGGTACAGCATATTGCATTTTTGGGGCATAAAGACATGCTGATTTATAGCAAAAGTCTGCAACATTCTGCTTCCAAAACAGTGTGTGTCTTCTGAACATAATTACAGAGTAACCAGAATTGATTAGAGATAATTACAAGGTATTTGCATACAATTTGCATTTAGCTGATTCTAATTATATGTGGTAATTAGTCATTTGTATATTACCTTAAATATTGCATTGCTTTTTTATAATACAGTTTTGTTCTCATTTTCTTTTACTGTAAAGTTTTATTTTTTTATTTTATTTACTTACATCTCATCTAATTGTTTTATTGTTTGTATTGACACTGAGACTGGAAGATACCTATGAGATTTGAGAGAGGGAGGTTTACCTGGGTTTTTATTGGCAGATAACGCAATTATTATGCCACAGGTGGGAACAAAATTAATGTAACCCCAGGAATTGTTACAGATGGGTTTGTCTCCACTCCATAGTGCTTTACCATAGAGTAGATAGGTCCCAGGCAGTCACCCTTGCACCTGGCAAGAGTAAGCCATGTAATGTGGAGTTTTACGCAGGCTTTCTCTGTTTGCACAAGAAGTCTATACTGCACACCCAATTTCTGGTGGGGGTCCTTTGAATGTGCTGTAACTATAAACCATATTCTAGTCCTGTCTCTCCTGGACTCAGGGAACATGGTAACCTTGGTACAGGATTTTTTGTTCTGTGAGGTGGGATCCATGACCAAGATGCTACAAGTAGTCTGTATCTATGGAGAGACATGGGCCCACCAACTGGTGTCTGTGTCCATTACCACTATCTACCAGCTATACCTCTGCAGAATATCTCATCCAAAACGAGTGACAGAGAACTGTTCCATGTGTTTACCTGAACACATTTTTCCAAAGAAATTCATACCGACCAGGACATGCATGAGTTGCGGGAGGTGTGTGCAATTTTTGTTTAATTGACCAGTTATGCACATCTTTTTACCATCTGCGGGTGAATGGCCGAGTGAAATACTTCAACAAAACCCTAAAAACCATGCATAAGTGGGTGGTGCAAAATGATGAAAATGACTGGGACTGCCTATTGCCAGCACTACTATTTGCCATATAAGAGGTGCTTAGGCCTTTGCATAGTTTTCATCCTTGATCAGTGGAGACTCTGGGGATCAGTTGACCTGGTAAAGGAAGATAGTGAGAGTGAATAACTCAATCAAAAGAGTGTTTTACAATATATCTCTCTGTGTACTGTGCTAATGTCCTGTCCTGGTTGCTTCTGATTTCTACAAAGAATTTGCCATTCAGACGGACATCTCCAATATGGAACTGTGAGCTGTTCTGTCACGGGACAACCATGGAGAGGAGCCTTGGTCAAACAGGAGTGTTTGGCCATTAATTGAGCTCCAGAATCCCTCTGATATTACCTCTTAGGGATGAAATTTCAGTTTGTCTCCGACCATGCTCCTCTAATATGGATGTAAATAAGATAACAAATGCCAGGATAACCCTATGGTTTCTGGCACAAAAAAAAATCTGCTTTGGGCTGAAGCATAGAGCAAACTCCATCAGAATGCTGATGCTATTTCCCAGGTCGAACGTTTTGGCTCCACTGGCGCTTCTACTTCCTGCAGGTTGAGACTGTGGGAGGGGGTACGTATTGGCCAAAAGAGATACTTTCTGGATGGTAGGTATGTATCCTCTTTTTTTTTTTGTGTGGCATGAATGAATGAAAGGGCTAGTAGGTCAGAGGGTAGTAGGAAGGAGGGACAGTGTGGGGAGTACTGATGGCTGTACTTGTGTAATTTTGGACACAAATTTTAAAGCTCCACTGCTGGCTGGGTTCTGTGGTGCCTTTGTGTTTTGGACTCTGTTATCTTTAAGTTTCCTGGCTGATGTAAACACATTTCTTTTATGTTGTGGGACTATATAAGCTTGGCAAGGAACATTTTGAGTACACTTTCTTTGATATGGATTTTGTTTTGATGCACACAAGCCTTTTTGAATTTAATAAAATATTAAATTGTTTTAGGCCTATGTCCTGACTCCTTAGCAATCCCCCAACGCCTACACGTTAAAGTGTTTAAAATAAACTTGTGCTTTGCCTTTGCAGAGCAAAGCAACAGGTGCAATTTAATGCTGCTAGCTGCTTGTATATAAAGAGGAACTCCCCCCGCCTTACCTGTTATCCAGGGTTGTGCTCAATACTGACCTGCCCTGTGGATCCAGCATTGACCTGCTGTGATCTACTGCGCTGCTGACACATGGCTTGTCCCGCACTGCCATCTCTACTCCTGATGTCTGTGGCCAGTCCTGGTTCAGGCAGCCCCACCTGTGATGATGCACGCCAGGCTGGTGAGTGGGATATATTTTTTTTAGGAACAATAGACCAGAACTAATTAGAAAAAAAAGTGATGGAAATTTACATTTTGTACCTTTTGGGGATTATTTGGAATCCTTACCACCACTTTATCCCAGTGGAAGCAGAATTATACACTCATCGACCACTTTGTTAGGTACACCTTGCTAGTACTGGGTTGGACCCCCTTTTGCCTTCAGAACTGCCTTAATTCTTTGTGCCATAGATTCAACAAGGTGTTGTTCAGAGATTTTGGTCCTTATTGACATGATAGCATCACGTAGTTGCTGCAGATTTGTCGGCTGCACATCCGCTTGGACTAGAGATGGTTGTGCTTGGAAATCCTAGTAGAACATCAGTTTTTGAAATTCTCAGACTAGCCTGTCTAGCACTAACAACCATGCCACGTTCAAAGTCACTTAAATCCCCTTTCTTTCCCATTCTGATGCTCGGTTTGAACTTTAGCAAGTTGTCTTCACCATGTCTAGATGCCTAAATGCATTGAGTTGCTGCCATGTGATTTGGCTGATTAGCAATTTGTGTTACCAAGCAATAGAATGGGTGTACCTAATAAAGAGGACGGTGAGTGTAAATGCAGCCTTAATTTATAAACAAAATGTTTAGTAGTAGAAAATGTCTTAAAAAGTGTGATTTCTATTGAGAGGCTGCACTAAATCTGTGCCATCTCCCTCTGTCTCTTCAGTTTAGAGCATCCCCTTTTTCTTCAGCATATTACATGCCTGTGTGGTTTATCTATTGTTTTAAAGTACTGTTGTTTACATATGAGGCATAATTCAAATATGCAGATATGTGATATATCACCAGTGTTTGATATACGTAGTTCTATGGTTGATAACTGGTTTAACACTGTAGCTGTTTACCTTTCTTCTTTCATGTGTAGGTAAAGGAAGGCATGCATCTTCTCATTACTGGTCCCAATGGTTGTGGCAAAAGCTCATTGTTCCGAATTTTTAGGAGGTCTATGGCCAGTTTATGAAGGAGTCCTTTACAAGCCACCTCCACAAAATATGTTTTACATTCCCCAAAGGTATTTAGTAGGTCAATGTATCTTTTGTTATATGTAATTCTTACGCTTTTGCAAGCATGTCAAATATAGCTAGTAGTTGTTAGTTGCATTAATTGGACTTGTTCTGTAATGTTGAATATGTTTCATAGCTTATTCAAGTAACTTCTTCAGTTCTGATGAGAGTCAGGAACATACCTCAGCATTTATATCCATACAGATAGCACAGTCACCTTAATCCAATCACCATGCAATGTGTCAAGGCAGATGGTGATTGTCTAGGAAGAAGATAAGAGATGTGAAAGTTGTGGAAACACCCTGTTTAAGTTCCATAATCGCATGCTCTTTCTAATAAGCATTTTAAATGGTGAGAGAAAGCACAAAATCAGTCTTTGAGGGACACCTTCCAACTGTATCTTAGGGAGTCTGTACAGGCATGTTACAGATTCCCTGATGGATTCCCTGAAGGTCCAATCAATCTTTTACCATTTTTAGCTATTGTAGATACTCTATCCCCTATTTTTTATAACAATGAGTTGAGTCCCTCTTTATTGGCACATAAGTATTTGCATCACTGAGAAGAGGGGTCACCTTATAATAGCAATCAGATGTATTTATGATCATCATACATCTTCCCTTGTTTGCTGGCAGGATGGTAAAGCTTGGATCTCTGCTAAGCGATGTAAGAGTCCTCCTCTAAAGTGGGGCCATGTTGGAAGGAGGTGCTGGACTGGACAACCAAGACCCGGAGACAGAGTTGTTAAGCCTTTTCTACTGACATGTGGTCATTCTGGAAATACTTGACACATTCCATTTTAATTGGATTAAGGTGACTCTAAGACCTGTGTGGATATAAATGCTTAAGGTATGTTCCCAAGACCCAGTAAAGTATGAGTAAAGGCAAAACCTTTTTTTACGTTTTGGATAGAGTAGAGATGGATTAGACCATCTGTCAGGTTTATATTGCTGCCTGTGTCCCCATGAAGAGGATTCACCCCTTCTATTTTTCCTGTCTACCATTATCATTAAAAGTAAAAGAAAAGCCCAAATTTTGGGTTGTCCACAGAAAAGTAATGGAGACACTAGTTCTGGTGACCTGGGGGTCCCTAAGGAATTCCCTTAGGATGCAGGGATTTTCTCTCACTTGACTGTGGGACAGCAAATGAAGGGAAATCTTTGCAATGGGACACAGAAGGCAAAAAATATGACAGGGCTTATTACCCTCCCTAACTCTATCCAAAATGAAAAAAAGGTTTGCCTATAGTTCTACTTTAAAGCTGATCTCCAGGTTTCCTGTCACTTTAAATAGTTCATTTGGACCAAGCTGGTCCAAACAAACTGTTTCTCTCTCCAAGTGCTGAATTAGTTCTAAGTGCTGTATGAACTTAGCTGCATACAGTACACAGTGCTGGGTTCTGGCTGTGAGACAGAGACTCCCCACTTCCTATCTCAAACCCGGATCAGAACAGACTCAGGCTGAGTGGCAGTCAGACATTCATAGGCAGCTTTGTATTCTATGAATGCATACAAAGCTTCCTCTGATTGGCCAATTCAGAGATCATGACAGCATCAACCCGCCTCTCTGCCTTAGCCAATCAGAGGAAGCTTTATATTCAATCAAAGAATAGTTGAGCACCGCTCAGTCCAACTGTTTGACGTGAGATGGGAAGTCTCTGTCTCACAACCGGAACCCAGCACTGTGTACTGTATGTAGCTGAAGCTACATACATTTCACTATTTAAAGTGACAGGTAACCTGAAGATCAGCTTTAATAAAAGTATTCCAGGTATGGCTAATTTCACAGTAAAAATCCTTAAAGTTGTAGCAATTAGATGAATTTATTTGTAGAGATTAGGTGACTATGAATATACTGTCACATTGATTGAAGTTTAATATAGAAATAATAAGTAGCCTAATGTTTATTCTGTTATACATGTAGTTACATTTATATGGCAGTGAAAATAAAAGACATTTTATCATTTCTTCTTAACATTGTTGCATACAATTAGACTTCTTTTATAACTGAGAGGTAAAATCATTGAAGTTCCTTCAATGGAGCTTGAATTTGAATGAAGGAAGCCAGTATAAGGCTAGGTCAGTATGTGACCTGAGTCTAAAGCTGAGTCACTGTGTGTTCACTCCTGGGAAAATCACAGAAACAGAATTTAAAAAGGATTACCTCAATAGAGGGTAATCCTTCTTACTGGTGCTTAGGCTATCATACGCTTCTTCATTTCCCTGTATGAAACTCTGTATGGATCAATGTGTGTTTCACTGCTACATAAATTTGTTTTGTACCAGGGAGGCTGGTCCTCTAAAAACGACACAATCTGTCATGATTTCTGCATATTTATTTATTCTAGGTAAAACCTACAGGAATCCATAAACGTATAAATCAGGCTATATTAATGTTAAATATACATTTATATAACGTATAACTAATGGAACAGTCAAACGATTCTGACTATGCATTCTGTATCTTTTGAAATGTGTCTGTAAAACACCAGAGAACATAAGATAATTTTATAGCCCTAAATTAGTTCAGTTAATGACACTACATAATTCATGGTGTAAACTTTAAAAACACAAGGATCATTTTCTGTGCATTTCCATAATTTACTTTTTTTTTTACAACCTAAACCATCTACCATAAATGCAATAAAGAATATGTTGCTTTGTGAGCAGATTACTTCTTCGTTTCATTTGTAGTTCTTGTATGCAGTTGTCTGGTTTCCTAATTGAAAACAGGTATAAACCAACTTTACTAACTTGTATAAAATGATCCCTTTTCCTTAAGATTCCCTTAAGTATCACTCTGGCTGTTCAGATTTATAGCTCATGGAACATTGCTGTTATTAGCGAGCTATTGACATAACAACAATTATTTTGCTAGCATTAAAGTTAAAATTAAATAGCATTAAACAGAATAAATATTAAAATGTACCTATTTAATGTGAAACTTGTGCTTGCTTTTTCTGCACAGATTCTCAATTCTGGGTCGAATTGCGATAAGCAGTGTACAGGGGGGCAGCAGGGTTACAGAGCACAGAAGGTCAGCAGGGCAGAGCACAGAGGATCAGGAAGGCACAGTAGGGGAAGCAGTAGGGCATATTACATGGGGGAAGGGGGGACAGCAGGGCATAACACATGAAGGGCAGCCCAGAGCTCTCCTGTGCCCTGTGCATACTTTGTGTTATCTCAGGGAATTTAATTAGCTCTCTATGGGGGCAGCAGGGCACATTCATGTGGGCTGCAGCAGAAACACATTATAGTAGTGGAGTGATTTCTTTCATTTGCAGAGCAGTGCAGGGACGCTGCTGTGATAGAATCCTCTTCTAGCATACTGTTCCCCACCAGTCCTCTTCTCTTGGCCATACCACGTGGTCAAATACAAGCACCTGGGATGGACAGGAAGGGAGGAAGAGCCGCTATGCATGTGGGGGAAATCTTAGGAGAGTGTCGGTTAAATGGGGATGTGATTCACCCATCGCTTGCTTGAGATGGACGGGTAGAACACAGCAGAACTCTTGGGGACTTCTTGCAGAACCTTACGGATACAGTACAGTATCTTTGTTTTAAAGGTTAAGACTGTTTTTATACTAGGCCTGATCTCAACTTGGAGGACTATGAAATTTTATTTTTGGGTTTATCTCCAACTTGGTATATATATATATATATATATATATATATATATATATATATATATATATATAGTTGTATTGGGTGTGATTGTGCTACTAGAAACCTTCCTTCACCCTGTTTAAAGCTGTTGCCTCTATTTTCGGCAAGTCAGCTTCTGTGGATCTACAAAGTAGCTAAGGTTTATTTGGGAACAGTCTCCAAGGATGCACATTTTAGGACGAAGTACATCTTTGCAGTACATGCCTATTTCCCCATGTTTTTTTCCTGCAAGTTCAGAAAAATACCTGTCCGATCTGCCAGAAATCTCCTGACTCTTGGTGTGACATACAGCATATTTACAATACAGCATATTTGTGGGTTGAATGGTATTAACCCTACCCAGATGTCTTTTGCTAAACTACTTAAACATTCTTCTTCTCCTTATCTCCATTACATAAGGACTAATTGTTCTGTAGTCCCAGTTCTGTAGTAAAATCTCAGACAGCTAATTAAATTCCCTGAGATAACACAAAGTATGCACACGGCACAGGATAGCTCTGGATTTCAGACAAGATCAATAGATATAACAGAACTATTTCAATGGTATATTTAAAGAAGTACAGCCAAAGCTCTTTTGGCTGTACTTCTCCTGTGGATCATAGGAGTGCAATTCATTCTGCACTTCTGTGACCCGTTTTCAGCTGACAGCGAGCTGAAGTCTGCTGCCGGCTGATATCACTCAGCCAGTCCAGGCTGGGGGAAGATCCCAACTTTAAAGTCAGGATCCACCCCAGAGTCTGGAGCGGCACCTAGCTTAGCCTCTCAGTGAAGCATTGAGAGTCTGAGCCAGCCGCTCCCTCCCTCACCACAGCCCAGCGCTCCAGTGAGCACTTTGGGGGCAGAGTAGAGAGCAGTGATTGACAGTCTCCACTCTGCTCAGAGCTGAAAGGAGAACTCAGCGATCATGTGATTGCTGAGTTCTCCTCCTTAGATCCAGTGGGGGACAGATGCAGCATGGGACCCATGCTGCATCCACCTAGGTAAGTATAAATAGGAAATAAAACCGCCCTACTTCTCTTTTAAAAAAGAGCAAAATAAAGTGAATAAGAGAAATTCATTGTTAGGGTTTTCATTCACTTTCATTTGATATCAGTAGGCATGCCTTGTAGGACATTGCCACATCATTTGAAAAACGCCAATGTTGGGTTGGCACTTTGGGCATAATTTATTTGTATTTAAATTCTCTTAGGAATTTACCAAGTAAAAGTTAAGTCAGCAGCTATTGTAGTTGCTGAGTTTTAAAAAACCTTATACGTACAAGTCCATAAATTACAATACTGTCTTTCTCGCAGCGGATCCTTCCCAATGTTGAAGGTCCCCAGTGCTGGCGTCTTGTATTTGGAAGTTGACTGTAACTTCCTGATGAATCACAGTTGGCTCCCCACTGCGCATGCACAAGATCACATGGCACAGGGAGTCTGCTGCATCCGCCTGCTGGGACCTCCTGTGTCCAAGGCGGCTGCAGAGGGGGAGTCGAGAGGAACCAACATCATCCTCCGCTAAGTGAGGATTAAGAAGTGGGAGTGAGTACTGACAAAAAGCGGTACTTCACTTTTTTAATGCAGCCTGTATAATGTATGTAGTTGAAATGTACATTCTTCCAAACTTTAGAGCTTTATTCCAGTCATCATCTGTATCCACTTATACATTTTTAATATATTTCAGGTACATAACTTTCTGTAAGTATAACATTTTTTCATAGATGGCATACATCCAAACTGTGGTAAACATTTTAATCAGATCATTGTTTTACAGGCCCTACATGTCAATAGGAACTCTAAGGGATCAAGTAATTTATCCTGACTCAGTGGAAGACATGCATGAAAAAGGATATCGGAACAAAGATCTTGAGCGTATTCTTGACATTGTGCATCTTAACCATATAGTGCAACGAGAAGGAGGTACATGACATTTACATATAACAAACTGATTTCATTCATAATACATCATTTTAAAGAATTATTGAAAATTAGTGTTTATTAAATATTAAAAGTGAATAAAATAAAATGCTGTGCCAAAGAAAGAAAAAAAAATGTATAATATAATCCAAATCTAAATGCTGCTGCTCATGAAAGGAAAAAAAATGATCAAATATAAATATAAACACTCCACAGCGCAAACAAAAAATTTTTAAAGTGTAAAAAGTCCAAACAAAAGTCCCAAAAGTATATAAGAATGTGCTCCAATCCCAGAAATAGTGCTCAACAAAATCTTCAAAAAAGTGTGCTCACACCATCCGTGATTAATGATCCAATCCCCACTCACCAAATGGAGTGGACACTTTGCTGGTATGGCTAAAGAGTCAAACAAGCTTTAAAGATGGGGTATATCCTCCCCAGATACATCTGCACTTGATATCCTCCAAAAATGATTCCCACGATTAGATGGTAATGAAAAACAAATAAAGAACACAAATAGTGCAATACTGTATAAAACTCTTAATTCTAAAAAATGCTGCCCTTAATGCACTACATGATAAACATTATATTCACGCTTAAAGGCTCATAATAAGGCTCAAATCCATATGAAATCCTCCTTTGAAAAAGTGGACTGGCAGTAGGTAATACAAGTTTACAATCTTCCCTTAATGAAGGCAGGAAGTCAATCCGGAGCGCCGCAAACCAACATGCGGTCCACTCACCGGACGTGCCGTCACTACACATCCACCGTAGTCGTAAATATGTTGACGCGTCCCCCCCCCCCCCATGGTGGATGCGTAGTGACGTCACATCCAGTGAGATTAGAGAATACGTCTCAACTGTTCTAGAGTCCAGTGGCGGCATGCTTTACGCCACTGCATCCAACACATTGCATTGCACTTGGTGATGTAAGGCTTGGATGCAGCTGCTCGGCCATGGAAACCCATTCCATGAAGCTCTGTATGCACTGATGTTGTACTAATCTGAAGGCCACACAAAGTTTGGAGGGCTTTAGCTATTGACTATGCAGACAGTTGGCAACTTCTGCGCACTGTGCGCTTCAGCATGCACTGACCCTCCTCTGTCATTTTAAGTGGCCTACCACTTCGTGGCTGAGTTGCTATTGTTCCCAGTAGCTTCCATGTTGTTATAAAACCACTAACAGTTGTCTGTGGAATATTTAGTAGCCAGGAAATTTCACGGATGGACTTATTGCACAAGTGGCAGCCTATCACATTACCATGCTCGATTTCACTGAGCTTCTGAGAGTGACCCATTCTTTCACAAATGTTTGTAGAAGCAGCCTGCATGCCTAGGTGCTTGATTTTAAACACCTGTGGCAATGGAGGTGAATGGAACACCTGAATCCATTGATTTCGAAGGGTGTCCCAATACTTTTGGCAACATAGTGTATATGTATGTATGTGTGTGTGTGTGTATATATATATATATATATATATATTTATAAATATATATAAACAGTACATCAGTACATACATACATACACACATACATATACCTTTTTTTTTTTCCTTTACATTCTTCTTTGGATTCCCACTTTCATTGATATAAGCTTTTCCTGCTCTGCTGGGTCCCATGGCTATCCTCTTCCTGCTCATCCTTTGCATGAGTGATATTGTCAGCCAGTGCAATGTAGTTGTGTGAGTGGGTAGAGTTGTATAGCTTAGGAAAGCATAGGGTACTAAAGCATATATTAGCTGCTCTTCCTTGCCATGAAAATATCTAAGCAATATCTAATGGCTATGTATAGTTATTTTACCTTCCCTAAAACTGGTTTGAGCTCCACTGTCATAACAAAAGAGGTACTTAGATTGTCTAAAGAACAGTTATACCCAATTTTGGACTCCTCTAGCATTGGGTAAGGACCACCAATATTAGACTGGCCTTAAGCCAGTGAATTTTGTGGCAATATGGGAGAAAAATAAACAATAGCTCGTGTTAAATTTATATGCTATTTATTAGATTTCATTCATGTTGTTGCATTGAAAAAAAAAAAAACAATGTTAAGCAAAAATATCTTTCTTTTATAAATGGCTTCACCATGTGGTGTACAAACAGCATAATTATAGCTTTGTGTTAAGAAGGAAATGATGCAGAATTAAATGTATACAGTATCTCGTATCTCTTTATGGACCAGTGTTGACAGGCATTGGGCTGAAAAAACAGATTGCTTTTGACCTGAGATTGAGACATTCCTGTGATCAATTGGAATTTAATACAGGGGCATTTGACCTGCTTTGAACTACTTTTGTTTTTTTCTAGACATGCATGGGGATCAGAAGCTGTTCTAATGTAAACAACAACAAAAAAGCAAAATACTTCTATTTCAAGTATAATATCAAAACTTTTTTTATAGTTTTGGATAGACTGGAGAAGGATAAACAACCCTGTCAGTTTTTTTTTTTATTGCTGTTTATGTCCCTGTTAAGGAGATTCACCCTCTCTATCTGTCCTGTTACCATTATCATTGAAGGCGAAAGTAAAAGAAAATCAAAATTTTTGGGTTGTCCCCAGAAAAGTAATAGAGAGGAAATCTTCCAATGAGGACAGTAGTTCTGGGGGTCCCCAAAGAAGTCACTTAATTTTCAGGGATTTCCTCTCACTTCCTGTACCATTCACCTAGCAATGGCTATGGGACAGGAAGTGAAGGGAAATCTCTGCAATGGGACACAGATGGTGAACAAAAAACTAACAGGAGTTATAACCCTCCCCTGCTCTATGCAAAATAAAACAAAATTACTCCACAGATTGGTTTGGTCCTTAAGAGAAACAGCTAGTCCTTAAAGGAGTATTAGTCACATTCATTACATTAAGTATTAATCTAATGCTGTATTTATAACAGCCAGCAGGGAGAATGATACATTGACTTCCTGCTGAGTGAAAAAGTGAGAGAACGCATCCCCATGCACCCTTTAGATAGATGTGTTCCATTCTGCCCATTGGCTGCTTCATTACATTTTATCAGACCTGTTTCTAGAACCGTAATCAAGAAACTGATCAGAGCAGCACAACTAAAGTCTAAATTAAAGAAATGGGACGAAAAAATTCAGAATTTAAACTTGAAACCTATATGAAATTGTTATTGGACTTAACTTTAGGTGCGCTTTCAGTAGCAATAGCAGTGATACTATTTAGATTGTGCCTATCCCATTTGGTCCAGTTTGTAACACCCTAATCCAGTGATTTGGAGGGGTGTCCCAATACTTTTGGCAATATAGCGTACATTTCACTGACAGTTTTGATTCACTACACTGAAGTGAAATTTGAGTAGTTACTGCAATAATTTACATCATCATTACTTGTTACACTGCTTTATTAAATAAGTCTAATAGAGCATTATGTAGAAAATGCAGTTTATTTTACTTCTGTATTTGCAGGATGGGATGCAGTTTCAGACTGGAAGGATGTCTTGTCAGGAGGTGAGAAGCAAAGGATGGGCATGGCACGAATGTTCTATCACAAGTAAGTATAATATATTTCTGCTGCTTAGAATAAAATTAATTACATATAATGCTAAGAAATTGTTTTGCAGTCTCCATCGCCTAATGCATTATTTTTTTATGCCATTAGTAGCTGACCACAGAGAATGGATGAAAATAATTTGAGGCTCTAAAAATAATTAAAACTGTTATCCCAGTGCCTTTGGATCAATAGATAGAATAAATAATAAACAGTACACTTATCTAGGATGGAACTGGTAATGCTAGCAGCACTTTGTAATATTGTACATTTTATTTTGCATTAACCAAAAGAAAAACTATTACAGCACTGAGAGAATATAAAAAATTTCAGATATAGGTAGAGACAGGACGTATCTGCTTAGGTGTGTCCTTATATTTTGGCCTTTGGGGTGAACTGTGTACAGGATGATGGCACCATGCACTGGATGCCCCTTTCAGGTTATTTGGATGTTCTACTGCCTTAATGTGGTTATACTTCTTTATCTACAGTCGTCTATCCCCTACATCTACACAAAGTGCAGAATTTACATAGGGTCTCTCAGCTCTGAAAAGCAGGGGCGGGGAGCTAAAGTTACACTCAGTGACGAGCTCTGAGAGCTGATGGGGGGGGGGGAGAGTTGCACCCCCTTTACACAGCACACAGGAACAGAGCTGAGGCTGTCAATCTGCTAGAGGTCCCTCCCCTGTCACCATTTTTTTCTTGGTGTCAAGAAAACTTGTCAGAAGTGATTCATGCTAATAGCAGAGGAACAAAGCAGCAGATAGTAATTACACTTAGTGCTTGGGATGGAGACAAGTACATACTACAGAGGGATATGATGCTTTGTTCATATTTCATGTTTGAGGCTTACAACCACTTTAAGGTAAAAAATGTTATGACTTTAGACCCACTTTATTATAGCCAAGAAAAATCATTATTTGTTTCATCACACTAAAATAAAAAGGCAATGCTATGATAGTGAGTGTATAGGGAGGAGAACGAACAAGAAGGAAAATGTCTGCTTAGGTGAATAAAGAATCACCACGGGCTTTGGGTCCAGATTGTTCCATATTCTTAGAGGAAAGGAAAGTGAAATGGAAGCCTTTACCAATATTTATAATGGTACAGCTTTAAAGCACATTCTTCCTTTCTGAATGCCTAAATTTTGATAGATAGCAAAAGGAAGGCCATGGTGGCAATTAGGTGGAGGAGACACAATCATTGGATAGAAGTCTGTTAATTTCTGTAGATTTCTGTTAGTTATGCATGGATCAGAATTATATTTATAGGCATTTTACACTTTCTTATAGATTTATCCTATAAATTTTGAGGGCTATTTCCTATTACATACTGTATGTTTCATCTGCATGGAAATGGATGGGCAGCTTGAGCTTAGCCAAGCACAAGCAGTGGCCTATTGTTTTTGTTTATTGCAATAGAAATACTACTATATATTATGTATTTATTATATAAATATAAAGTAAAATTAATTAAATTATGGGCCTGTAACTAATCACTGGGAGAGGTTTTCAAGATCTAGAGCATTGGCTTGCAAACTGTGGCCCGGGTGCCGGATGCGGCCCTTTGTTTGTCTTTATTTGGCCCTAGACACCAACAGTGGGGCTCTATTACTCCCCCTAATATGAAAGTTGGGGCACTGCTTACTGCCACTAACACTGCAACAATTTCAGCTCCCACTGGCTACAGTCTGGCACCCCCTAAAGCCTGAAGGACAGTAAAGTGGCCCTTTGATTAAAAGGTTTGGGACTCCTGCCCTAAAGCATGTCATATCATAAAGAAGTAGGTTGGATAAGTCAAAGGGATTTCGTCTGTTACTTGTGGAGGAAATACTGAAAACCAATGTACCATATATTAGTAGGCATGTCTGTGCATGTTATTTATTTATTTATTTTTTCATTTCTCCAACAAAAGGCCACAATATGCTTTGCTAGATGAATGTACCAGCGCTGTGAGCATAGACGTGGAAGGAAAGATATTTCAAGCTGCCAAAGATGATGGGATAAGCCTCCTTTCCATAACTCATCGGCCTTCTCTTTGGTAAGCACTACACTGAGAGCAGCAATAAGATTTGGATGGTGCATTAAAAATTATATTAGTGAAGGTACTGGGGCACCTCTATTGATGAGGGCATGCTAAACTCTCCAACAAAATAAACAGCTAACAGCTTATCAGTTTATAACTAGCATCTGTGCCTAATTTACAATCTGTCTATCAAATGGCATTGCAAATAATAAAGCATTATTGTCCTAAAAGAATAATTAATTTACCTGTCTTTCATGTAATGTGATCCATGGGGATCTCCAATGTGCCATGAGAACTTGAAAAGTCAAGCTATAGGAGTCATATTTCCCTGGAATAAAAAAAAAATCAAGGCCTAAGTAAGCTCTGGTTCACATTGATGTGGTTTTGGATGTATTTTAGACCGCTGTTATTCACATGACAGGGAAAATAAAATGAATTCCTATGGAAGTCATTCACATCTATGCAGTCCATAGGCAGTGCATTTTGAAAAAGGGTCATGTGCGACTTGAGAGAGAGAGAGCCCATGGGCATTCATCCAGAGTTGGAAGTGCAAAAAAGTTAAAACACATTGCTATGAAAGTAGAATCGCAGTTTAATCTCATCGCAGATGCTCCTTGAATCGCACTTAAAAACTGATCTAATTCGCACCACTTCAGTGAAAATCAAGAATAAAAAAAAAAAACTGCATCCATCCATCAGCTTTTGCTAAAGTTTAACTACTTTTCTATTGTCACGTTCTTCAGCATGATCCCCCATTCTGTACCACTTGTGTCGACTACTAGTTCTGTGACAGATCAGTGATCCAATTCTGTGAAAGAAAATAGCAGTCCACCCCCTAGTATTATTATACTGGATTATATCTGCCCCCCAAGTAGAGAAAAAAAAAAACAGCAGTTATTTGTCATCAGCCACATGCCAATTAGAGACTTGTTTTCTGTATCAAATGCATGAGGCACAGGCTGAGTACACTTACAGAGGTCATAGAACTTGGTTGTAAATTCTCATATTTTTATTAATTGCAGAGAGCACATTATAATGCACCAAAGTTAAACAGACTGATAGACATGCACAGAGTGTACTTCACAGACTTTGAAAAAGCAGGCGAAAGCAGAACAAATTAAATATTAGCAAATAGGCAGCCTTTTCATTGCAGATGAGACATACTGGGGTTTATTTACTAAAGCTGGAGAGTCCAAAATCAGACTCCCTTCTGCATAGAAACCAATCAGCTTCATTTTTTTCATTTTTCAGGTTTCATTGCCAAAGCTTCATTGAACAAGATGAGGTTAGAAGCTGATTGGTTTCTATGCAGAAGGGAGTCTGATTTTGGACTCTCCAGCTTTAGTAAATAAACCCCACTATTTCCCTTTTTCAATAAGGGATTCTTACCTGTATGTTTTGAAATCTTCTTAACAATATACACTGAGCTGCATATGTGTAGTTTTGACATCGTCCAATCAACAAGGCTCGAAGATCCCAAATCCAAAAGACCAGGTGGAGAGGTCGGCTCTGGCGAGAGAGCTTGCAGACGAGACATCACGGGAGTTCAAGCGAGTATAGTTATGCTTTAGCTAATACAGGCAGTGCTTGCTGTGCTAGTAAGTTGTACTAAATTTTAACAGAGTCTCTCATAATATGAATCTGAAAATTGGCATTGCCAAGGCCTGACAACTGCCCAATTTTACAGAGTTTCACCCATTTTTCAGTGTGTAAGAGCTTGGCAGTTGGACAGTCAATGCCTGTCAAACGTTAGGTGATTTTGGCCCCCCTGACACTTTAAATACAGAACTAATGTAAAAAGAAAAAACTTACAAACAGACAGGATTTTTATTGAAGAAGAGTCATGCACTGCCTCTTCTGCAATAAAATATATATACCCCCCTGTTCCCTAAGCTACGCATGTGCAGCTACATTTACAGCATGGTGCCAGTGTGCCAGGATGAATGACCTCCGTGTGTGTGCAGGAATGATTTCACCCCACGCCGACCAACACCAGAAGAAGCCAAAGAGCAGATAATGGTGAAGGACCTTGCAGTCGTCAGACCATTGGAGCAGAGGTAAGTATTCCTGCCTTTGAATGTCAGGCTTAGACAGAGTTATGCTAAATAAAGAGCAAATGTAATCTTTCATTAGTAAGATGGCACAGTTATAATAACTGAAGACTAAATATTCACAATTCTGCAAAATCCTTGCTTTGGCTGTTTTTAAATAAGCGTAATTAAACAGTTACCTGGCCATATCCACTAAATAGATTTTATGCTTAGGCACTATTAACATCTTTCTGTGCATTTCTGAAGAACTTGCTTACATGCTGTCATACTGCTTTATGGATTTTGCAGAAAAACATATTAAAACATATGCAAAGTTCAGCATCACAAAACTTACGAGCCAATCCAAATGTCAGAATTTGTTTTAGGGGCCCATATTTAATGGCCTGTTAATTCTAGACATAGCAAAAAATCATAGTTTTTCCTGTCAGATTTTGTTCCAGCAAAATGGAGCAAAAGCAACACTTAGGGTGTTGCTCAGGTCCGTCTTCCAATTGTAATGGGTACCTGTCTATTCTTCGCACAAACAGGCCTGAACACATGCGCCTTATTTTTTGGACTCCTTTAACCCCATTTGGGATGCTGCCTCAACAGGAGGGATGACATAGTAGCCCTTGCCTGGATACCCACAGGTTGTCCTCTTAAATTGCCACTTTATTGGTTCCACACGGGAGTATTTCCTCACTCCAGGCTCTCCGTATTGTTGACCAAACCCATCCCAAACTTAACCCAGCTACTGGTTCTGAACTAGCAGGCATTCTTTCATTGCCCAAACTGGCTCCCCCAAAGGTCAGTGCATTTTTACACATACAGCCATGTTTTTTACACTATGCATGAAAACATGTTAAAAATGCACAACAAAGCAGAACACACACATTAAAAATATGTGCATTTTTAACACACAAAGGTCTGAATAGGGCCTTGATTACTAATGTTTGTGTTTAGTAATCCAAAGTAACCTGTTTGAATCTGACTCTGATCCGTACTCCGCATTTGTGTACTGTATTTTGTGTGGGAATGCACATCAGTGATTAGAGGCAACAGTTTTATTTATTTGAATTTATATTTTATTTTTATATTTTTGGTTAGGGTTATAGTTTTCAGTTTTTTTGTGTCTCTAATTTGTACTAATATGAAGAGAAGAGAGAATTCTGATTGCTGTTGATTACTATGCTTACTGTGTAAGTTCTAATGTTCAAAAAGAGCAACAAACACTCCAAGTATACTCGTCAGAACTCTGAGGCCCACACTATACAGTTGCAGTATGTACATGTGCGAGGTGAAAGTGGGGTGGGGCACCAGTCATACCAGGCAAATATTATTGTAAAGGATTTATGTAGCACTGACAATTTACACAGCACTGACAACAAGAAAGACAGAAATACAATGCAGGATAAGAAAATTAGGAAGGACCTGCTCATGAGAGCTTACAGTCTAAAAAGAAATGTTGAGCTCTGCAGATTCTCCCAGAATTCAGTGAGTCTTGCTTCTTAGAGATTTTTAGCACGCCGATTCCTTTATACTTTAAGTGGTGTACTATTCAGATAGATGATGTATAGTTATTTTTTGGGACACTAGAGGGCAGTGGTCACATGCTTTTTCAACCAAGTATTGTCTACGTGTAGATGTAGAATTAAATATATATTATATTAAATATTTAGAGACAGGTTTGCCATTTAGTCAGTTTTTGTGTTTGGAAAGTGCTTTTCAAGATTTCAAGTACAACTCCTCTATGACAGTTTAAACAATTTACAAATCTGTAATACACAAGCCTCCTAACGTAAACAAAAACTTCCTTTACCTTCCCTTCTGAGTCAAATCCTCTTTCATTTGTGTCTCACACGCTCACTTTCCCAGACACTGCAGCTCAAAATGGAGAGGTTTCAGCAACAGAGACAGTGTTGTCAATACAAAAAAGCAGTGGTCAGGACTAGGTGTGGCTATATGATGATTGACAAACTAGAGGCTTGTGAATCAGTAGTGAGAATGCAGATAGCCATATCACCTGCAACATTTTGTTCTTCCAACTCTAGTGCAAACAAGCACAGCGTACATAAAGGGGACAACACTACTCTGAATTCAGGAGCAGTACAGCATTGTTGTCACACTATCACAGGAAGCTGCATTAGGTATATTTCACTGGCAGGCTAAATAGTAGTGATGAGCCGATTGTGCCTGGGTTCACCGACCATTACTAAAATCGGGTGCCAAATCCAAACCCGATTTGTAGTCAATGGGAGCTAAGTGTTAAAACAATTAATGGACATTTTCTAAAATAGGGATCCCCAAACAAGTGGCATGGGGGCTGGGCACTGCCCTAGGGAACATGTACCAAAACAAGCAATTTTAATTATGCTGAAAATCAGATGTTAAAAGTACAAAGTTCCTTTAAATAACATAACTGAGGGATGCACTTACTCAACCTGTGAAATGGTGCATCTCTAGGAGGCATACAACCTACTACAGCAAAAGTTAAATTCACAAAGAAAAAAAGGGTGTTTAAATTGCTGGCAAAATGACAGCTACAAGCCACTTAGTTTCTGTTTGGAAACAGAGCAGTCAGATATTTCATTCATTTAGACCAGACCCCTACCCTAGATAAGGGTGTGATATAGAATGTTGTTAGAACACTCCCACACACTAGGTGGTCCCCCTAAAAATCCACAGCAGATCCTCACCTGAGCATTGAGCCTCGCAGGCCAGTAAAAGGGGAAGATGCACACAAATCCCTATCCTGATGAACCCTACCAGGTCACATGCGCAACATGTAGCGTATCTTGCCAGGGTAGATCCACCTTGCAGAGAAACTTGCCCCCATGTTGATGATGACAAGGGCTTTTTCCCTACAACCCTTGTTGAGGGGTCTGCAGGTCTTTTATTCATGCAGTATATGTAGAGTAGAAACCTTTTGGTTATGACATCATAATCTGACATTTGCTTTTTTCTTGGTTTAGTTGTTTAAGCCTTGTTCATTAGACTTACAGTGCCTTGAAAAAGTATTCAAAATTTTCCACATTTTGTCATGTTACAACCAAAAATGTAAATATATTTTATTGGGATTTTATGTGATAGACCAACACAAATTGGCACATAATTGTGAAGTGAAAGGAAAATGATAAATGGTTTTCAACATTTTTTACAAGTAAATATCTGAAAAGTGTGGCGTGCATTTGTATTCAACCCCCAGAGTGAATTTTTTGTAGAACTAAAGGGCTGAATACAAATGCACGCCACACTTTTCAGATATTTATTTGTACAAAATTTTGAAAGCCATTTATCATTCTCTTTCCACTTCACAATTTTGTGCCATTTTGTGTTGGTCTATCACATAAAATCCCAATAAAATACATTTACGTTTTTGGTTGTAACATGACAAAATGTGGAAAATTTTACGGGGTATGAATACTTTTCCAAGGCACTGTACACTGTAAAGGTACACAGTCTGTCTGGATTCAGCAGCACTATATTAGTGCAAAAAGAAAGCTGACCCTGTAGTTTTACTTTAGACAGATCAGAGAAGGGAAAGTTCACTTCTATTTTTAAACAAAATTCAGCTTGACACATGCTTATCTAATGATTTCAAAACACTAATGTGGTGAGGATAGGTCAGATCTAATCTACGTAGATCATATTAACATAATACTTATAGTACCCTTTAATGTCACTATTATAAATATCGTAACAGTCTAAGACTATTCCACACTAATTAAAGAAACAATTTCTCCTGCTTTCAATACTTCTACCATATAAAGATCATCATTTACGTAAGTATTTTTTTAAAACTAGTTATTAAATTACAGAGCAATGCCAGTACACTCCATGAAGATGTTTACCATATGTGTATTCATGCTCAGCCCCTTGTTACCCAGAATATACTGTAGGCATTTGAAAGAGCTGACACTATGGCCAGCTAGCAGGCAATCCATTCACTATCAATGTTGTGAAACCCTAATGGGGTTTTCTGCTTTACCTGTAAAAGTATCCAGTCCTTTTTGAACCTTCCAATATAAAAAGACAATTCTGCATTCTATGAAATACAGGCTATCATTCTGAACCTTTCTTTTTATTCCCAAGACTTTTGCAAAGAAAGACCTCACTGTGCATGATTTTAAGCCCAGGTCTTATTAGCTTTAGAAGGGTTCATGCTCTTAAAGTTGCATTCCAGTCAGATTCTAACTAAACCTAAATCTATTCCCACCCCCATTCTAAGCCTATTCTAACTACCCTGTGAAAGGAAAGATCTGTATACTTACCTATACTGAGGGCCCCCAGTAGCAGCTTCATTGTAAAGGAGGGACAGCCAACAACAGATGCCCCACAGTAAGCCTATGGGTGATGGCATCGCAAAGGCTCTGCATCCGTTGTCGTTGCTCTCTCCTGTACACTGAAGCCGGCACTGGGACCTGATCTTGTGACAAGATCGGAACACCCTCAGAATAGGTACAGTAAAGTACAGATATCTTTCCTTACAGGGTAGATAGAATAGGCTTAAAATTGGGGTGGGAGTAGGTTTAGGTATAGTTAGGATTTGACTGGAATGTTACTTAAAAGAATTCAACAGCAAATGTATTTTAAAGTGATTATAGCATTCTGTACGGTTCTTTGAATTTATTTTCATTTATGCAACTCTTCCACGTACACAGACTTTCTAATAAAGGCTATACATGCAGAGAAGTGAAGAAATACCTCTACTGCTGCCTGCACCGCCTTTATTCAGCTTAGGATTACTCTGTACCGTAGCAGTGTTCAGCAGTTCAGGCAGCACTTTTGAACATTTATGTAAATTACTCATTTTAGAAATTAAATTTCAGAACCAGTAAATATGTAAGGAGCTTTCCCCTGAAATTGTCATTCAATTATGTCTCCACAGGAAATATCACACCCATTTGTTGCAGTTTGATGGAGAAGGAGGATGGCGTTTCGAACAGCTAGATACAGCTACACGTTTATCGCTAAGTGAAGAAAAACAAAGACTTGAGTCTCAGCTTGCAGGGATACCCAAAATGCAGCTGAGGTTGAATGAACTGTGTAAAATCTTAGGAGAAGACTCAGTGCTTAAAACCAGCTCTGAAGATGTCTAACAATTCATTAGTCAGTGTGCTGCTCATTCTCTGTATTTTTCCAGTGGTTTACCCAGATAAAAGATTATGATAATTTATGAATGTATACTATGCATGGACTGCTTATCTGGATCTGGGATGGAAAAAAAATAAATTAAGTAAATATGTTTACATGTATGAGATCCCTTTTCTGGAAACCTGCTTATGCATTCATTTCTAAAACTAGATATAAGAAATGAATTCTGGCTACAGCTAACAGCAAGCAGAAACAAAGCATGATACAAAATTAGCTGGCAAGGCCATTGTAAAAATAGGCAAAGGTCACTACAGGCAAATAACAAGGATCTAAGAAACAGGCAAAAGTCAGGGCAGGTGGTTGAAGGTAGCCATTGATGGATTGAAATTTGGCCAGTTCCGCAGGGATCAGCCGAACTTCGCTCCATCTATGGTTGTTCCCATTCAACAGAAGTTGATCTAACTATCAACCTCTGTTGAACAGGAATGCTGGAAATTTTTTCTTGGATCAGCTTACAGATACTGATCAATGTATATACTGACAGCGGCACAATGGGGAGGATTCTGCCATCTACCGCGACTGTGTGGATGGAGGAATCCATTCAATTTTTTTCTGTTCAGTCCACTTGCTGAATGAAAAACTATTAATCTATGGGCAAAGAAAGATCATCGAAAAACAGGCAGAGGTCATAGGTGGGTATGAGAGATTAAGGTACAGGAGCCTGGGAACAGATAGAGAGGTCTTTGCTCAGGCAACTCCCAAGTGCACTGAGCAGGTATAAATAACATTTCTGAAAAGACCTCAGAGTAAGTGTCCAGCAGCATTTCTCGCCAAGAACCTTAAGGCCTCATTCACACTATACACGCAAAAAAACTGATGCATAGATTTCACTTGCAGAGCCACAAGTTTACATCAGTTTCATGCACGTTTCAGTGAGTTTTGTATACGTTTTAGATGCCTGCACAGAAAAAAGCCACACATGATACTAGTGTTGTGGTGGTTCCTTGCAGAACGCGTGCAGAAAAACCTCACATCTCTGCACATGGTGTGACCGAGCTCTTAAACAAGTGAACTTGAAAAAGCAGTTTTCCAAGGGTTTAGAAAGCTGTTACACAGATGAACAAGAACCAAGAATGGAATCTTGGTGCAAAACAGCAGACTGATCCTGCAAAGGACTCAACTGCAAAATGAAGAGCTGTAGACAGTGACACAGGTTGGTTCTGAAGACAGCAAATTTTGACACAGGGCAAGTCAGTATTAAGTAAAGGATAAGCTCCAGGGAGAGTACAGACAATACTAGGGCTTAGTTGTTTGTCCCCTTCCTGCCTTTGTTAGGTATAGTTTCTGTAGTTCAGGTCACCTTTAAGGGCCTCTGCATCAAGTTTAGGGATGAATTGCCTTATAGTGCTTGCAGTTACAGAAGTCAGTGAAAGCATGTTTCAAAGCTCATTTACTGCTTGTTAAAGCCCAATTGTAGTTTTATGAAAACAAATACCAGTAAACTCAGGGTATAATAAAACAGTATGTTTTGAATAACTTTATGTGTTGTTTGTTTACAAAGGTCCCTCAGTTCCAGCGGAAACACTTATGACTGCTACACTTCATTCGGAGCAGCTGTCTTTTTACAGGGATTGGACACACCCCTTACCCTTCCATGCCACAAATGCAATGTTCCAAACAGCAATGTTTACGGTCTCAGCTGACTAACGTTAGGTACACAAACAGTAGTAAAAACTTTGCAAAGGCACTAAAGCTGGCCATACACTAGTAGAGTTTTGAAACGTTTTTGCTTCATTGACTTAAAGGAGAAGTACAGCCAATGTTTGTTTGGCTGTACTTCTCCTGTGGGTCACAGGAGTTCAGATCTTCGTTTTCAGCAGACAGCAGGCTAAAGTCCAATGTCAGCGGATGTCACTCAGATGGTCGAGGCTGGGGAAAGATCCCGACTTTAAAGTCAGGATCCACCCAGATGTCTGGACAGGCACCTGGCTCAGCCTCTCAGTGAGCCGCTGAGAGCCTGAGCCAGCTGTTCCTTCCTTCTCCACAGCCCAGCACTCCAATTAAACGTTTCAACAAAAATCTACTAGTATGTGGCCAGTTGAATTATTTTCTGCTCTATTGAAACTGCATGCAAAAAAAAAAAAAAAAGGAAAAAACAGCGCAAACATAGACCTTATACATAAAATCAATATTACAAAGTGCCAAACATAAGTGAAAAAATTGATCCGTGATAAAGTCCATCAAAATAAACCAAAGTTCAAAAAATATAGTGCAAAAAAGAAAAAAAGAAAAAAAAAAAATATATTTTCAAATTCTTCTTCCCTAATATATAGAGGAACTTCCACCTTCCACCCGTTGAAAACCAATATCAAATGCACTCACCATATAAAGTGTGAAAAAAAAACGCCTCTTAGGGAAACTAATTTTATGGGATCCTACAGACACAACCCTCTTTCGTATCCACTCTATAGGAATCCTCCTCTCCACCATAGGCTCCACCATCCGACCAGGGAGAAAAAAAAATAATCATCAGATAGTATAATATTGTAAGAGACACCATTCATAAGTGAAATCAAGGATTAAGGTCACTCACATTCAATTCAATTTAAAAAGTGCATATTTATTAGGATCAGCTTCTTCCAGATAAACAGTAAGATGCAAGGAGGCAACCTCCCACAGGAATCTCACATCACAGCTCCAGTTTCAGCAGAAGCTCTACAGAGACAAACCGCATATACAGATACCCCAAAAGATGGCCGCTGGAAACGCACCGCTCAGCGTGCGCTCCACTCACCGGAAGTGACGTCAGACGTACGGAGTACAAACCGGAAATGCGTCAACACGCGTTTCGCCCCTTCGCACCCTCCCATCGGGCGTTCTCAACGACGTTCATTTCCTGTCTGTGGCTCCCATTATAATACCCAGCAAAGACCCCACCCCCCTGCACACACCCTCTCCGTTTCAATTGTCCAAACTTTCTCCCCGGGAAATAATCAAACAAACCACTCCTCCTGTAACGTGACGCTGAGAGTCCCTTACAGCTGAGGTAAATGCCTATACAATTAGAAATCTTTTTTCATGTTATTCCGGGGAGGGGGGGTGGGGGGGGGGGGACACTATTAAAATATCTCCCAGAAGCGTGCGCGACATGTATATTAACCACATGTCCCCAGTGGGAAAAACACGAACAAACGTATTAAACAATGCCTCACTATCACAAAAAACTATTCTTTAATATAGGAGCGGAAATGAATACTAAATTAGTATAAAAATGAAAAGCGATAATATAAATGTAATGAAAATAAAAATATAAAGATGAAAAAACTAAAAATAAAATAAAAAAAAAAATAAAATAAAAATAAAACCACCCCCTCCCTCAAATCCCCCCGGAAACCCCCATAAGCGGGTAAAAGAGCGGAGATAAATGAAAACAAATATAAACCCCCCAAAAATAAAAATTAAATGAACCCCCAAAATAAAAAATAACAAATAAATAAAAAATACAAATCCAATAATATTAAACCATTAATAACAAACCATTTAAAAAAAATTTTTTTAAAAAATTGCATAATAGCATTACAATGTGTAAAAAAACTATTAATAAGACACCTGAGGACCATTTTTTACATGGAAATAGGTCTTTGCTCCTACCATTAGACGCGCGAGAAAATTAAAAACAATTAATGTCTCTATGTCCGAAAGAGCGACCGAACCCTTTGTTGGATACGAGCGCGCGCGCGAGTAGATCTAATGAAGCGGATCCATTTGAGTGAGACAGCTCTGCGAGATACTCCTACACAGCGACCATATCTCCCCCTCCAAAAAAGTGGTGTGCGAACGGATTCCGATGCATCCCGCAGAAATGCGCGTTCAAACTAACGCGCGTGGGATGCGACCCTATTAATGACACATTCACATGAAATGATAGGAAAGACTGTGATGAATATATTAATCCTTTTTTTAATATTTCTAATGTGTTCACCTAATCTCACCGCGACAATTTCCCCTTTTCCTAGACGTTTTTCTACCTACGTCATTGGGAGATGACAAGAGCACTCCAACACATACGTAACAAAAGGAACTATCACATGTTATAAAATTATTTATTTTATAAGAGGAACCCGTAGAACAAGAATGAAACGAATCATATCTCCTCTTAGTATCTCTCCTCTCATTTTCTACATGCCATACACCTTTACATTTATAAAAGCGCCCACTGTAGTCCAGCGAGCGCGACGAGAGAAGTTGCCTTTTTCTTCTGCGAGGAATAGCTGTGTCAGGGAGATATTTTTTGCTAACTTCTATTTTCACAATGGTGGGCTGTGGTTTTCTGTAAATGAATGAAGGTTTTCTCAGTATTAAATCATGGAGAACATCATCCCCCTTCTTCAGAATCGACCAGTGTTTCCTTTAAATATTTTCAATAAACCTTATGTTGATTAGAGTAACCCGTGATAAAACTGTGCCAGTTCGCGCGCTACTTTCTTCTTGTTCTTTCTAAATTTGTTAATAATTCTCTCTATTAATTCCTCCTCACTTGATCCATTGCAACCTGTTAGAATATCTCTCTCTTCATAGCCTTTTTCTCTAAACCTTTCCAACAACATATTTGCTCTTGCTCTTGAAATATCTTATTGTCATCACAGTTCCGCTTGAGTCTAATCACTTGGCTTTTTGGGAATGGTGCGACCTCACCAATTTCTATTCGGTGGCAACTGTGGATTATTGGATGGTACGCATTCCTATCCACTTGTTTAAAATCTGTTTTTGTGTGAAGATAGTCCCCCGAGTGTCTATAGCATGACTAATAATCAAGAAAGTCTCTATAGATTCCACTACCGATATGGTTAGTGAATGTGATGTTATAAGGATTACACTCCATTCCACGGATGTACTCACCTCTAAAACCATTCGCTGGCTTCCCTTCCAAAATTATCACGGATGTCTACATCTATAAACCTTCTAAAGAGTAGTATTTTCTCATTCATCCTCTTCCCAAATATAG